TCTCACAAACACACCAGTTTCTCACACTAATAACATACCAGGGCTGCTACCTCAGCCCTAGTTATCCCTCTTGGAACCCACAGCTCTTAAGCCATGCGTTGAGAGTAGAGAGCTGTGCATTATCCATTAGCCATGCTTTGTCTGGCTTTGATGGATCAAAGGGCCTGTAAAGGGCTGCAGGACCCAGGGCCACTGCCAACAAAAAGCGGACAGATAGGGAGAGGAAAGAGGGCTGACAGATGGAGATGGAAGGAAGAGGGCAGGGAAAGGGATGGAGGAAAGTGTGGGGGGGGGGAATGCTGAGGGTTCTGGGGGTCACGGCTCTCTCTTGGAGTCACCAGCTGGACTGTGCTGAAACAAGGCAGCTGAGGGCAGCGTAACAACTAGGGCTACACCCTTATACGAAGTTTCATGCATATTGGGCCAGTCGTTCTTTTCCTTAATCCTGCTTACAAACTGTCAAAGAAACCAACAAACCACACCAAACACATAAGCCTATTACAAATATAAGTAAGTAATACATTAGTAAGTAGTATGCATTGTTGCTTTAGTCATATTGTTCACTTTGATGTCATTGTACTGCTCTCAAGCTTCTTCACTGTTTTACTTTGTTTTTAAGAACATTTTAGGCATGTAACCAGCACAATCCGGAGCATGTTAGGACAAGCATGTTGTGGGTCTTTGTCTTTTTTCAAGGATATTTGGTTACTTGGAATCAAACCTATGACCTTCCAGTTTAAGACACTTAAAGACCAGGGACCATGAGGATGTAAGAACAACAGTGGAGGTACAAAAGGAAGGCTGAAAAGATTTCAGGAAAGCTTTGGGGGAAGGCGGAAAGGTAAGAGGAAGACAAACAGGAAGGCGTTTCTTAGAAATCGATTAGAGTAGAAAAAAGAAAGCGGAGAAAGGGGAAGGAAGTATTGAGATTGTAAGAAAGAGGAGGTTGAGAGAATACACAAAGCAAGACTGAGGTGAGGAGAAATTGGATTGAGACTAGGAAAACAAAGAAGTGGAAAGTACAACATTTGGAAGAAATATAAGGGAGAAAAGAAGCTGCTATACAAAATGGCAAAGTAAAGAGGGGACGTAAAAGGGGATGAAAATTGGACGGAGAGATGAGATGGGTGGAGGTCTATTAGCAGGAAGTTTGTGCGTAAGTGTTGGCCTGGGGAGATGGAATCTGGTGTGGTGTGTTTGTTCTGGCTTAGCTGCCACCCTTAGCAGGCCCCTTCACTGGGCACTGGGAGAGAGGGATGTAGAGGAATAAATGGAGGGGAAAAGGGACAAATTAGAAATAAGAAGTAAATGGTATAGTGTGATGCATGCTGTCAGAAAAAGAAAACATTCAAAATGTGGTAACCGTCGTCATAACAAGTGGAAATTTGAGACAATGTGGATGGTGTGGACTACTTCCAAGATTAAAGGAGAAACTGGAACCAGTGAGTCCAGAAGGTTCTCATTTGTCTTGTTAGACGCTAGTTGAATTGCTTGAATTTTCCAATGATACCACCAGATTTCATTAGGAGTTTTGTGGCTTCCATTTTAATGTCTGGCACATCGAGCCCTACGAAGCAAGCATGAGGCGTTTGCTGACCTGGTGACATACAGCACTTACCCAACCTCTCAGTTTTCTGTGGACTTTCCAAATTTAAATTCTTCTTCTGGGATAGCGTATTGTCTCAATGTCAACATCATCAAGCTTTATAAGGCTCGAACATCAAGAACTTGAATACAAACTAATCTAAAGAGGTAATTAAGTGCAGGTGGTGTATAAACTCAGGTGAAGGGAGTGAGGTGATTAGGCAGGAGAAGAGGAGGATTCTGATTGGCTGGGAAAACATGGCAAGCACTTGAAGCAGGGAGGGACTAATGAGGTAAATGGAGAGCAGGTGTGTAGATTGGGAAAGGAAAAAAAAAACAGTATGTTCGTCCCAAAACTCTGTTTGGTATTTTGGTGCTGTATTTTTTTTCCCACGTATGAATTATACATTTCAATGAACATAAATATTAATATTCAATGGCTTAATAGATAAGTCTTTTCGTTGTAAGACCTTGGTTTTGTTTGAATACTGTATTTACATATTTCTTACTGACAGTTTGGCATTCAGTGTCCTATATCCACACATGCAACACAAACCACTATCAAGAACTCTACATAATTATCAATTAAACTACTATTATTGAATGTTTAGGCATACTTCATAGACTTTAATGTTTTTATATACAGGAATCTACCCATTCATATTTTTTACTAAGATTTCTGGGTCAAGTGATTTAGTTCAGAGGAGTCAAGGAGGGACCTAAGGAAGAATCCAGTCAACAATAAACCCAGGAAAAAAGAAATGTAACTCTGATAAGTCAAAAAAGTCAGATATCCTATATTTGGCCACAGTCACTGTTCATGGATGCTGTACTGAAAACTTGCATGAAAAATAATGAAAGTATCTGAAGAGTTATTCCAGTTTTATCACTCAGATATCTGCATTGTAAGTCACACTGGATCTATCACAAATGAAAGAATGAAGGAAGAATGTACAATAATCTTCAGTATGTGAATGCACACAAACAGTCAAGCACATACTGTACATTGTGAAATCCCCAGGATCCCACAGGTATGTATACCAGAAAAGTGGAATAGATAACAGATAACCATCTACTTACTATTATTGGCTGCTTTGCATAAACATTTAGGGTTAAAATGTTTACTGAAGGTAGAACAATTAAAAGGCAGTTCAGTAGAGAGAAGACAGTTGAGAGGAAGAGGCATATTTTCTCTTAACAGTAAAGACAGTGATTGAGATATTTGACCGGGGCAGGAAGGAGATCATTGCTTGCTTGTCATGGTCGTTGGAAATTTGAGTAGAAGAATGACAGAAGCAGGGAACAGCATGTAAAGATCAAGGACTTGATTGAGAGCCACATTTGTATCTTGGCATATGTCGTCTAGAGTAATTCTCATTGATTTGAAAGGGACTTTTTGATGTCCATCCTCTGATCTAAAAGAAAACCCTGACAACTAAAAGAAAACTAATCTACATCAGCTTGAGGGAACTAGGACATGGTCATACATTGGGTTCAGACTGGGAATAAATAAAGAACCACAACACAGGATAAGATTTGACATTCATTTCCCAGTGGAGATGGAAAAAACTAACATTAATTCTTAGAGTGAGTCATGCAAGAACATTGTCCAGTTAGTCATTTGATAGCCGAAAGCGAACCGGTTTCCTGCGACTTCTGTCAGAAAAGGCGAGTCTCGATTTAGCTCATTATCTGTCCGTCTGGCTTCCTGTTGATGTCCGTAGTTACGTACAAGCATAAGTAGGAGACCAAGTTTGATTTTAAAGTAAGAACACACAGTGTACAACACACACACACATGCACTGAGGTGACACACCCTCAGGTTCAGGGCCTGTGCAACTTCCTTTTTGTGCACAATGAGATATACACAAGCCCTTGCCCTTTTCCTGTATCCAAATAAACAGTCCAAAAAGGGCCATGTAGCAGGAACACTGCTGTGTGTGTGGGTGTGTGTGTGGGTGTCCATGTGTTGCGTGTGTTACGTAAGCATGACTGTGGCCCTCGGCCCCCTTCATTAGGGCTGCTGTTCGGCTCCTGCTTCCTTTGGTCACAGTTCATTGGCCTGTAGGCTTATTATAACAGACATGAGAGTTGGATGTGTCACTCCGTATGTTTCTGTCTCAGTGCTCCTCCAGGGGTGTATTTGGCTTTTCAATTGCCCATACTTCACAAACATGCTCTAAATCATCAGCTGCACTTGCATTTTATGTGGCACTTGAGTGCATCTAAGTAGTTTTGCAGACAGTGTTTATCCTCTTTTTTGTGTAGCTCTTAAAAATGTCACTACATGTAGTCCTCCCACAGTCTGGCCTCAACAAGTTGCACTGCTGAGCTGTCTGATATAAATAATATCCTAATGTTAGGTGGGCAGTGTCCCAGGTGTAGTCGATTAAGATACAAGGTTATGATTTTCTCTGCAATTACAAATTCCTGGTCAACAATACAATGGCAGTTACTGTTTGTTGTTGATTGATGTATTTAAGATATTTGATATATGTTGTTATTACTTCTGTATGCCAAGTGTTGGTCCCCTGCATTTTTTAGGGACAAGTTGAATTATTTAATTCATTTGAATTGATTAGATCAAATTGGGCCGGTGGTTTTTTTCTAACCCTGCTTACAAAAAAACACATTTAACCAAAAACATAACCTCCTTGGCAGAGATAACTACTTTATTTTTTGTATTTTCTGATTCAAACCATTTTAACATTTTGAGAAACACCTTTTGCTTTTAACAAGAGTTAAGTTCTGGAACGTTCCCTTACTTTGACAGTCCTGTTAAGCTAGCACCCAAGTTACAAGCTAACTTTTAAACATTTAACAGTCAACAAACACCTTTGCATTTATCGTCTATTTTCCATCTGTGGTGTAAAATCCAAAGAGGTATCTTATGTAACCTCTGAAATAGTTTTGTAACATCTTCTCCGCGTGACATGCTAGTTTTCTTTACTTTGTTGTTAGCAAAGGGAACATAATAGCCTAGCTAACTGAGGCTAATGCTATGTAAGCTCTACAATAACAGGCTCATAGTATTTCCTCTTTTCTTCCCCACAATCGCTGTTATGTTATATTTTTTAAACATCTTACTTTAAGTCAGTTCTCAATGCTACTTAACAATATTACATTGCTAACAAGCGATTAGCCAACTTTTTTAGCAGCGACAATGTAACACTGCTTTTAGTTGTTTTGTTAGTTTGTCGCTTGTAGTATTATAGCATACATTTCTACCTGCTCAAGCATTATATTTTACTGAAAAAGATGGGAATGGTATCAAGTCTTTAGTTTCAATATTAAATCAGACTTTGGTGTCTTTTGTGGATTTATCCATCTTCCTGTCAGAGGACTCTGTCCTGAAGCAGTTTTTTCCTGTGTGTGCAAACCTTGTATTCACATGTGGCTGTCTTTGTGTGTTCCAGGTCACCTCGGCATGCATCCCAGCTCCCACCAATGATCTGGTAAGTCTCCTTCATCTCTTTTCCTTAGTAGCATTCTGTCTATAAGTGCAGTTTTCCCTCTCTGTCTGGCCTTAGTTAAGAGCTATGGCTTCCCAAAACCACTGTATGGTTTCCTCTTGCTGCATTCCTTTTGGGAAGCCGAGCCCTCAACCCAGTTTGAGCACAGTTTGATCACTGCTGGATTCCAGAAAAAACTGTTGATGTTGCTACAGGAAGTAGTAATGTTTATCCATTAGAGTCTGTTTGTTTAATTAACTCTCCTTTCCTTCCTCTCACCTCCTTTCGACCTCCTCCATTTATCCAACGTCCTCCTACCATCCTACTCTTCACACCCTTATCTCCTATCTTCTACTTCCTATCACCTTTTCTTACATCCAGCAGCGTCGAGGGACCGCTCCTTCTCGACACATCCAGCACCTGGTGAGCACACTTAAACCTCACATCCTGTCTCCTTGTCTTCCTCATCTTCATACTCTTTATCTGCATCTTCCATTTTCTGTCTTCACCCTCCATCCCCAGTGTCATGCTATCTATCTTGAAAATGTCCAAACCTGTTAGGGAAAATGTGAAAATAACAAGAACAAATGTTGAGGATCTAATAGGCTGCCTTGTTCATTACGCTCCATTTTAGTGAGGTGCCAAGAACTCCGCTCTGTACTTGCTATCTTTCAAGTTGTAACACTACACAAATTGTGTTTGGTTCAAATGGCTTACTGGTTCATTAAGTGAAAAATAAATAAAGCATCTGAGCTTGAATGGACCATGCATTTGGATAATGGGATGGCCAACTGTATCTTTTCTTTTTTACAGGGGTCCACCAAGTCTCTGACCTACACCAAACAGAGGAACACCCTGCCAAGGTAAACTTCATTACATTCATTTCTTATAATATACATGTTTGTTTTTTTATTGAAGTACAAGTAACAAGTATGTTAGCACTGAGAGACAAGGGAGAAATGTTTGATCAAAATATCTTCTTCTCCTGTGTTTACAACTTAAGAACAACCAGGAAAAAAATAGTACATTTATTTATGTTTCCTTCCAGGTGTTTTTTTTTTTTTTTCCTGCAGTAGACTTTGTTTTATTGGCAAATGTTTAAGTCCTTAAGGGGAGAAATGTATTTGAATGTGCTACTTTTAGTTTAATTTAGAACATATGGTGGTGGTGCATTACAGCCTCTTGTGGCTGACATGAGTATTACAACAACAAACAACATTTGATGGGAACATTTCAGGTTTAACTGACGGAAAATGAATACAATAAGAAAGGAACAAAAACGATTTTTCCAGTTCCTAAGCCATAAACACATTATAGAAAATATATATTATTTGCCATTTGCCTCCTCCTTCTGTATATTGCTTTGCTCCAGAGAAAACATATTTAATGCTAATAATTGGCTATGAGTTTCCACATCTGCACTGCTCCTCACTTTGCTCGAACCATTATCCTTTTTATACTACCCTCCTCACAGTAATGGCAACCTTCTTCATTCTTTCAGGAAGGTTAAGTATCAGTCATGTGCAGGAACAAGTTGGCTTTAGATCATTCCTTCATGTCACACATAGTATCCAATTTCTCTTTTTTCCTTCCATCCTCTATTTTCCTTTTCTCTCCATCCATGCATGCAGCCTGAGGTTTGCGTCAGAGTGTGTTCGTGTTGATTTGCTGCAAACAACCCGTGACCTTATGCTCTCTTTTAAACCCCCCTCTGCGTTTCCTTGTCCAGGAGCTTCAGTGTGGACCGTGTGATGGAGAGAGTCATGGAGCGCCACTACGACTTCGACCTGACCTACATCACCGAGAGGATCATCTCCGTGTTCTTCCCCCCGAAGCTGGAGGAGCAGAGGTACCGCGTGAACCTGAAGGAGGTGGCGGCCATGCTCAAGTCCAAACACCAGGACAAGTTTCTGGTTAGTGATTACAGAAGTTCTTTGGTGCAGCAGTGATTTAACTTCCCTCCTGAGAGTATTCTGGAGAAACTTGTTGCACAATAGAGTCACACAGGAAGCCACAAAATATACTTGGCAACCCACAAATAAGCAGTTTGTATTCTGTCACTCCCATGATTAACATAGTTTCTGTTCCAGCTCCTGAACCTCTCCGAGAGGCGTCACGATATCACACGACTATACACGAAGGTAGACTTTGTCCTCGCACTTTTTGGGAGAATTCAGTGCACAGCTTTACATTAAATCACCTCAAACAACATGATCTGTTTCTCCATCTCAATCTACAGGTTCACGACTTTGGATGGCCAGACCTCCACGCCCCACCGCTGGATAAGATCTGTGCCATATGTAAGGCCATGGAGACGTGGCTGACCTCCGACCCCCAGCACGTGGTGGTCCTGCACTGCAAGGTTAGAGTTCGCTGCCATGTTGGTTTTCTTCCCCTAGACAGATGCCCCACTGTTTGCCAGGCTTTCAAACAGGCAGATGTTCCCAAAAGTAGTTTTGTTGCTATAAATATGGAATTGTAAACACAGCTAATTTGCTAGTTTTAACCTGGGTAGGGGACTTATTCTGCAGATTATAGGTGATCGGGAAGAAGACTGGGAACCAGTTCCAGCTACATGAAATTAAACATTTTTACAAGTGCCTTCACAATGAAAACATGCACCATATAATGTATTAAGTACAACAACAACTTTTATTTGTGCTCATAAAAGACATTTACCTTAAATTGCTCTTGGATTAAAAAGGACATATCCTGATGGGGGGGGGTTCGATTAAATGTGAACCTATAAACAAAATAAGACCTGGTTCCCTTTGGCAAGCATATACGGTTGTACAGATGGCAGTTAAATCTGGCCTGACACAGGTGAACTAGTGCAAAGGAGTTCTTTAATATTCACTCAAAGTAGGTAACAGAATGCTCAAAATCAGCTTAAATAGAAAATAGAAATGAAGACAGCAAAAAAGTCTCCATACTGTCTGTGCATAAAGTGAAGGTGTGTAGTTCTCCACCTCCGAAAGAAAAGGTCGTCCTGACAGTCTGATTGGCTGAGAGGGGAAATGCACCAAGCTGCTTTCAGTTCATAATTAGGAACCAACAGGTGACCTGAATAACCTCCAATCAACTCAGGAGGAGAGGGACATCCAGCTGAAATGAATTAAGAAAAGGGAATTACAACAAGTCTCCAAAGTGTTAGAGAATTCTACAATAGAGTACAAAACACACATACATTCTAAAAAAAAATGATCCTACTTGGAGATTAAGTATATTTTTAGCGTTAAATAAATAAATATGATTTAGTTCATACCTCAGTTTATTTTGAATAAAGCTTCTAGTCAATACCATGACAGAAGTGTCAAAAATACTAGTACTCTTATTCTCATTGCATATTCTTACTTTAACTTTTAATGTTCAATAAATAATTTGTTCTATTTTCAAATGTTTATTTCATCTTTAATTGTATTTATTTATAAAATAAAACAACTATGCAAAATCTTTAATGACTAGTAACTTAATAAATGCTAGATTCATAAATAAAGTTAAAGTACAAGTATGAAGTAGCATAACATTAGAAAGTAAAACATTAAAGGGGACCTATCATGCAAAATGCACTTTTTGATGTCTTTTATACATAAATATGTGTCCCCGGTGCGTCGGGGAACTCACGCAGCTTCAGAAAATAAAACCTTTTCTCTTTTCCTCCGTACCCAAATCTTTTAAAAACTGGGGTACAACGAGCGGATACAGATTTGCTGCCGATATGACGTAATATCGGATGGTGGACCCACAGAGAGTTGCTATCAGGAACAATGCCTGACGTGTTTTGGACGTAATATGGTATTTTTTTACATTAGCAAGCCTCGCTAACACTCAGAGCTAACCTGTACTGTAGAGTACCGTGTTTAATAAGCAGGAAATAAAAAAAGGAACTCACCTTGTGATAAACCCACAAGAGAAAAAGCATTTGAGCTCCATACTGTTTCAGAAATAATCCTTGATGTGGTTTAGAACAGGATGGCGTTTTATCACAGCAGAATTTAACTTTATCTCCGGTAGAATTCTGATCAGGCATTAGCTCCGCCTCCTCTTTTCTTTTTTTTTCAAGCTAAGGACCCAAAATCTGCGTTTCTCTAAACAGGGCTGAAACAGAGGGATATGAGGGATGTCTCAAATGCAGGATCTGTTTGTATTTTGAGCAAAACACATCAAAGACATGTTTTTATATATTTTTATATATCTGAGACCCATAATATATGCCTTAAAATAGCATGATAGGTGCACTTTAAAATGAAACTCAGGTATGCTAAATGACTGTACTTGGAAAGCTAGTAACATAGAAATAAAATAGAATAGAATAAAAATAAATATAGAATAGAATTAACCGTGATAAACAACTAACCACCTGGATGCTTATTTATGATGCTGCGACATGCTTACATGGATTAATATCAACATGTATGTCGATGACATTTGATTTGATTTGCTTGTTTTCAGCTTTAATCTCTCCATCACTTATTTAAATTAATGAAGTCAGATAGTGCTGTTGAAATATAACTTCTTGAAAACCATTATTAAAGAGTGCACAGTTAGCCTTAAAATGAACCCTACAACCCACAAGAAACTCTGTGAACTCCATGTTTAGTGAGTCATTTTATGTCATTCTGCCAGGAAAGTGATGCCAGTTTTGACTTTTACCAGCGTTACCAAAGTGAGCAGCTAACCCCGAGGGGAGACCGGGCTCCCACGGCCTATCCGCATGTTTATTTATTGCTTTTGGTCCGGAGAATTTAAATCCTAAAACCAGACTGCTTCTGTGGTCTGCTGACTCTCCATTACATTCCAGCTCCAGAGGCCCTTCTCTCTACAGCTGTAGAAGAAGAAGAAATTAGATGGGGATATAAAAATGTCAATTGGGGGACACATGGAGTAAAACAGGCTTTAATTTGTGCTCAGGGTGGAGGTGGAGTGTTGGTGGGATCACATTAAGAATTTGAGGCTGGAATTTCTTTGGAATGTGTTGAGGAGCAGCCAATGAGAGAAAAAAGAAACCACAGGAAGCTTGTAATTTGCCTGTCCCCATGGGGTCTCTTACTGACAGCAATTAAGCTTTGGTAGTGCAAACCACCATGCTTTGGAGAGTTATGGATTACATCAAACGGGATAAAAAAAAGGTAACTGTATTTCCTTGCAGATACATTAAACATAGACGTAATCAGATAACGGTTACAGTTCATTTCAAGTTCAAGGAATGTTATATTATGAAGCACATGCATTTAAATACTTCACAATAACACCAGTTATCTTGTTAAAAAGGCCTTATTATATTTGTCGGGCATGTCCCTTTCCTGTGGTGTGTTATATAGGTTTGTGTGCATATAAATGATCTGCAAAGAGTCAAATCCTTTTTGTAATGCGGACACCTGATTTGTTAAACAAAACATTAGTACTTTACTGATTACTTTTCTTTACAGGTAGATAGTAATTGTAATGGATTACATTTTTAAAGTAACCCTCCCAACTATGCAGACCACAGGATGAAATCTGCACATCGTGACTTTGCCTCCTCTTCCTCCTGCAGGGCAATAAAGGTAAAACAGGCGTGATCATCGCGGCCTACATGCACTACAGCAAGATCTCTGCAGGGTGAGTGTGTTTCAGTTTGTGTGTTCAAGACATCCAAAGAAACACCATTTGACATGTTCATAAAACATCCACACATTAAAGTGTATTGAACACATCGGATTACATTTCCAACGTGCTTAAAACATAGCAACAGTGTGTGATGTGTGTACCTGCGGCACAATGGTTTCCATTCAGATGCTGTTGATAAGTCGTTTTGATAAATGGAACAGTGGAAACGGCTTCATCCTGTGTCCAATACCAGCTGTATCCTCTCCATGTTCACTCTGGCATCCACAGGGTCTGCTGCAAGTCCCTTGATGGAAATGTTTTGTGTGTGTGTGTGTGTGTGTGTGTGTGTGTGTGTGTGTGTGTGTGTGTGTGTGTGTGTGTGTGTGTGTGTGTGTGTGTGTGTGTGTGTGTGTGTGTGTGTGTGTGTGTGTGTGTGTGTGTGTGTGTGTGTGTGTGTGTGTGTGTGTGTGTGTGTGTGTGTGTGTGTGTGTGTAGGGCGGACCAGGCTCTCAGTACTCTGGCCATGAGGAAGTTCTGTGAAGATAAGGTGTCCTCTTCCCTGCAGCCGTCCCAAAACAGGTAGGGTGAGATGAAATGAGGGGAAATGGGCCGGGGTCGATGAGTGGTGGTAGTGGGTGTGGGGGGTTGAGGCTATCCTTCAGCATAGTAGAGGTTGGTAAAGGCATCCCCATTTACAATAGAATGTAGCTTCAAGCTCTTCATACAGTACGTATAACTTCTGGATTTCCCTTTTCACAGCAGACTTTTGACATCTTAAAAAGAAGATTAATGATGGCCGCATTCCAATTAGCTTCCTTTAGAGTGCATGCTGGCTCACTGGTAGACTGGAATATAATGGAGCCCTTGGTAATGCTTTTAGGAATACCTTCATTTACGACAGCAGGCACTTGTAGGTAAAAAAGTTTGTAATGTATCCAAGTTTAAAGTCGTACATTTAGTAGAAAAACACTTGTGTCAAAATATCTCCACATTTTTTTAATTTCTATGTTCCTAATCTATTATTTTAGGATCAAACATAACAATACGTTTACATTCGCAAAGATAATAGTCAAGGGAATAGTTTTAACATTTTGGAGAATATGCATATTCTCTTTCTTTGTGATTCATATGAGAAAATCATGACTGATTGATATCTATATTTGCATTTAACTTTGGGCAAGTGATAAAGCATATATCCCAAAATCAAACTAGTGCTGCAAGGTGAAATGTGAAACTAACAAGAATGGTTTTGTACTGACGGGATTGCGTCAAATATTTAGACTCGCCTGTCTTCCTCCTCTGAAGATAACTCAGTTGGCGTTCTATCTAAGAACAGCATCGTCTGCATTCTTCTCCTCTTTTTGAAAGATGCTTGTACATGATCTCCATCTGTTAGGGTTAATCTCTTATTTGTATCTCACAACGATCTGTCTCCTTCAGATACATCTATTACTTTGGGGGCCTTCTGTCGGGGGCCATCAAGATGAACAGCAGCCCTCTCTTCCTGCACCAGGTTCTCATCCCGTCACTCCCCAACTTCCAGGGGGAAGGAGGTGAGCTCTTATTTGACCCTCCATTTTTTTATTGATATCCAATTCAGCCTACTTCAATATTTCTACTCATCGTGCTATGTTTTAATGACAACTATGATTATTAAATAGTCCTTTTACATACAGAATAACTATACCTTTGTATGAAAATAATAAATGATAAAAAAAAGGAAATGGTTAGAACTGACGATAAGTACATTTACAAACTGTGATTGGACTTTATTTATATAGCAATCATATTTGAGGAGACTTGTAATACTTGTGTGGATGGATTTAATGGTTAAAAATCCTTAAAAAAAAATACGTTTAATTACCAAGGTGTTTTTCTGGTTTCCCCATGCTCTATCACTCTCTATTTAGCAATTTATGTCTTGATCAATTTTTTTATTTTTCTCATTGGTGATCCTTCCCAAGTATCAGCCATAACCACAAAATACAGTATAACGTCAAATGCATTATCCAAACACACATCACCTCCTGCTTCCTTTAAACTGAATACCAATCTTGCCTGTAAAAATGTAAATGTCTGCCGGTACCGTCATAAATGATTTAGTCCTATATAGTGGCATTAAAAAACACCTTAAAGGTCACCTATTATGCAAAATCCAATTGTCCATGTGTCCCCTCTGTGTTAAGAGATTCGGAAAGTTTCAGGAAAAAATATTCTTTCTCTTTTTTTCCTGATCCATTCATATAAATTAGCTAATTAGATTCTGGCCATTTTGTGATGTCACAATGTTTTTTGGGTTGTGTAACCATTAGCCAATAACAAACCAAGGTAACACCGCCCACCTTATCACCTGAATCTCCTCCTAGAGCACCATTGTGTTTTTTTAAACCAATCACTTCTCAGAGGGTCGCGAACCAGCAGCATCTCATTAGCATTTAAAGCTACGGCACAGAATCAGCACTTTTGGAACAGGGCTGAAACAGAAGGGTTTATGGGATGCTACAATGATCTGTTTGTTTGGTATTACGAGCCAAACACTTCAGAGACATGTTTTGTATATATCTGAGACCTATAATATATTGTTGAAAAAGTGTGTAATAGGGGACCTTTAATAGAAAAGGCCAATCTTCTTTCAGGTCACTTTTGCTTTTCAGTTCACACCAAGTCATCCGTATTACACTGGGACGGTTTGCTAACCAGTAAAACTCCTTATCTAACCTGAGGTGTACCCTCTATGCTCCCCAGCCTGTTTGCTTGTCTTGGTGCTCTGAGAGGTTTTCCCGCTGAATCACAGCTATGTTGCTGACTGACTGCAGAGCTCACATCCAGCCTCCACCCACACAAACTCCTCTGTTTATCTGTAATCTGATGATCAATTCCAGACCGAGGGGGTGGCACATTCCTCTATATGCATGTTGATAATGCTCGCTATGTCTGAATATCTCTCCCCCTCCTCCTCCTCCTCCAGGTTACTTCCCCTTCCTGAAGATCTACCAGTCCATGCAGTTGGTCTACACTTCTGGCATATAGTGAGTCACATGGCTGATATATAATCATTTGTTGGTCCTAATGAGCTTAGATTTAAACACCGTCACAGAGTAATTGAAGAGATAGATGTGAGGACATTACACAAAGGGCCTTTTTCTTCTTCTATCCAGCTTTTAACTCAATGACTCATCTCAAGTTATGAATATAGCCATTGTCAATCAATTATTTGAATAGCAGTCAATGACATGATGCTAACAAAAAAAATCAGTCTTTCGGAGTTTGGTGACATACTGCATCTGTTTGCGTTCTTTGTATTTAGGAGATATTTAACCGGTCTGTGTGTGTGTGTGCGTGTGTGTGTGTGTGTGTGTGTGTGTGTGTGGTCTACAGTGACCTTCAGGGGACCGGAGGCAGGCGTCTCTGTGTGACCATCGAACCTGCGCTGCTGCTAAAGGGCGACATCATGGTGAGTACACATGGAAAATAAATAAAAACTATTTGATTAAATACATAAACTGATATATTTTCTTATGCAATTGTAGACTGTAACCAAGTAACTTGTGCTTTCCTTGAGTATTTCCAGAATCCATTTCTTTACTCCACACATTTCTTCTTGATAACCTGAGTCAGTTTGTAGATTCCAAATTAATAATACAAAATATAATGTCAAATCATGTATGATGTATTATTTTAGAAAAGCTTTATTGATCCCTTGTTTGATTGAACACAAATCCCACCGGTTATATGGTAAAACCAGATGCAGAATTATGTGATGAACACATAAATGCCTCAATAATTATAATATAATAACATATTGTACAGCATCCTGCATTACTTTTTGTAAGTATATTTGGAAAGCTAAGGCTTTTGTAATATTACTCATAAGGTATTGAATGCAGGGCTTGCATCAGAGTATTTCTGCACTAGTATCACTACTTTCACTTGAGTAAAATATCTAAATACCTCGAACACCACTGGCCAAATCTCCTCTCTGCAATACACATTTGTTTTGTTAACAAGGCATCACAATTTGTCCTTTTTGTGCATCCAGTAATTTTCAAAGTGTAGGTGTCAATCAGTTTGGAACACTTACCCCGTCATTATCCCACATGCATTCTGAGCTGCGTCCCTCCTCCCTCTCTGCCGCCCCCTGCAGGTCAAATGCTACCACAGGCGAGTCCAGAGCGCAGACAGAGACACGGTGTTCAGGCTGCAGTTCCACACCTGCACCATCCACGGCTCCCAGCTGTGGTTTGGCAAAGGGGAGCTGGACGAAGCTTGTGTTGGTGAGTTTCTATGGATGGATATTATATGGAGCATTTCCTAATCCTGGACCCATTCGAATATGTACTGCAGTTTTAAAAATGTCCTCCTAAATTCCAGAGTTTTAGAATCCTCTTTTGTATAGGAAATGGATAATTGCTACAATATATCAGCTCCCCCTATTTGTTATATTTTTACCGATCTACATTCATCAACCCTATCCCATTCCTTCTGGGCGGCCACAGTTCTTAGTTGTACTTGTGTAGTTTGGTAGAAATAAAACAGTTCCTACATTAAACTGCTATGGATTATGTTTGGTATCTCTGTCATATGTTTTGAAAATAGACATATTTGTTGAATTTTTTCCAATGCACTTTTTGTGCTTTAAGCACAACAAGCCGAGTGCTACCTAGTCCCATTATATTGGTATCAAGGCGGACATCTTTATGCTTAAAGGTGGGGTAGGTAATTTTGGAGGAACCAGCTCGAGTGCGCTATAATTTGAAAATACACAACCGGAAAAAATCTGCCACTTCCTTACAGAGCCCCTCCTCCAACACACGAACGCGCACATGACCAATGAGGGCACGAGATAAGTTTGTGCACAGATGGAAGGCTGACAGGCAGGTAGGCCATCCAGTTATTTTAGCCGGGCCGGCTAAAATGATTGGTCGTGCTTTTTACAGTACTACGGCTTCCACAGATGACATTTTTTTATGGATTTTTTGTCAAAGCACTTAAGATATTCATTGCTATCAGGATGTTAAGAGCATTCCATGGAATATAACAAAAAGTGTATCTCGAGCCGGTTTCTCAAACGTACCTACCCTACCTTTAACATGGCTTAATAAAATGCTTCATGAAGAGTCTGCAACTCACTTTAAAAGTTCTAGATTTAAAAATATCACTACATGTAAGAGGAAAAATATAAATATCTTTTTTTTTTTTTTTTTTTAAGGTTTACTGTACCTTTAAATCGACTGGGGGCACAAATAGTCTATTGTTGCAGGATAATCATCATACTACTGATTGTCATAATGTTTAGAAATGTTCGTTGTGGGAATGTCTTCAGTGGTTTGCTTCCTAAAATGGCCCCATTACTGTGGCTGAATAAAGCCTTTAATAGTAGTAGCTTAATCCCCATACTGGACACTATTACAGCTCCCTGGAGGTGAGTATATAGAGAGTGAGTTGTACTGTGTGCAGGGAGGGAGTGTCTCCAAATATCCCTCAGAGACTGTAAAGGAGGCCCAATGAGCACTGCTCTGTGGATTAGGGCTACAATAATAATGCTCATTTCCTCTTGGAAATGACATCCATTCCAATCCATTTCAGTAGATAAAGCTATATAAAAATATACATGAACACACTGTTGTTTTGTATTTCCTTTTCTTCTACCCAGATGAGCGTTTTCCATCTGATGCCACAGTCGAGTTTGTCTTCTCTTCTGGACCTGAGAAAATCAAAGGTTGGTTCACTCTTCTTCAAATTCTCCTTATTATCTTTTCTAGATTTAAAGTTCACTTCCTATATTTCCAAGGTGTCAAAGACAATATAATGTAAATGCTCAATCGGACTATACAACTACAAATGCAAATGAATGGAAATTGGACATGTCTTTCCCAGGTCGTGAGTACCATAAGAACGACCCGGCAGTCACTGTCGACTACAACACTGCTGACCCATTGGTCCGCTGGGATTCCTATGAGAACTTCAACGAGCGATACCAGGACAGCCTGGAAGGTAACAGACTAATTATTCTCTTCATAACCAACTTCAGCCTTATTTCAAGCATTACTAATAAGGAATAGTTCAAAGTAAGTTAGTAACAGACTTCTAGTAGATCTCAAGTAGAAACTAGTTGGGCACTCAGAAAGTGCAGATATTTGCCAAGCCAAAAATATCTATTTCGCAATAACGATAGTAAAAACGAATTAGTATTCCCCCCCTCTCAAAAAGGAAATGGATTCTTCTTTGGCCCATGCTAAACTCTTCCAACAAGTTTAATTTAGTCGGCCCAGTAGTTTTTCCAAATGTTAATCCCCCCAACAAACAGCACAGAAATTGGATGGGGGTTAATGAAAGGACAGCCAAACCCTAAGAAAAAAACAAACATCAGACATCATTACATTGACGTTTCAGTTACAAGTGATAGGCACATTTCTCTCTTTATGTGTAGCCAATGAGATCTCTTAGTTTGAGAGCTGTTCTGTCTGTCTCTCCTACAGTAGATATTGCCCACACCAGAGGTCCTGTAGATGGCAGTCTGTACGCCCAGATAAAGAAGCGTCGAGGTCCCGGCTCTGGTTCTCTCTCCTCAACCAATGGCAGCAGCCCGGCGGGGGGCTTTGAAGAGGATAGGTCAGATCGTCTCATCGCTCAAGGTTCTGACTCCGCCCTCTCATCCCATTCCCACCATTTGCACCAATCATCCGTCCATCCTGAGCGCAAGGAGGAGCCTGTTCGCCCGCTGCCCCCAACCAGACAGGAAAGATTGGAGCTTGAACGTCTTCTGGGAGGGATAGAGGGGAACCGGGATGGAGAGCGAGAGACCGCCATCTTGGATGATGGAGATTCTTTGCCGTCTGAGAGAACGGGCACGCTGAGGCTCAACCGGTCGTGTTCTTGCCGGGACGGTTACCGGTCCCAGCGCTGTGCGGAACCCGGGTGTGACCGCACCCTCCTCATGCCTAATGGTTACTGCCTGGATCGCGCTCCCGGCACCAACGGGCACCACGGGGTGACTCCTTCTGCCAGCCCCAACCCGGCTGCTCCTCCGTCCCACATGGATCTGTGCCAGCACTACAGCCCCCACCCCCACCAGACCCTCCCACCCCCAGATCTGGTGTGGGACCGCCAGGCTGGCCCACCGCACTACATGCACCGCTCCTGCTTGGAGACTCCCCCGTCTCGACACATCTGCCCTTACCCATCGCCGGACCTCACCCCTCACTCTCACAACCACCCGCTCCATCACCCTCTGTCTGCCCCGGGACGTCTCTGCTGTCGGGAAGACGACTACACTCCCTATCATCCCCCTCCTCCACCTCACAGCCTCCACCATGCCCACCCCCACCACCCCAAACCCTCCACCAGCCCGACCTACCATGACATAATGTTAATTGATGGTATGCCGCCCCCTGGCTGCCCTTGCAGAGACTGCGGCATCAGGAGAGAAGACTCAGCGGCCTATCACAGCTTGAGGCTGGACCAAGGTGACGGCTTCCACTGGGACAGAGAGGCGGAGCTTCAGCAAAGGGAGGTGGGGCTTAGGAGAGCCAGGGAGGCGGAGATACCCAGAGGGTCAGAGCTCCACTGGGAGAGGGATCCTGGGCTGAGACGAGGCAGAGAGTTGTCCCTCCACTGGGAGAGGGACAGGGAGGCGGAGCTTCTGTGGGAGAGGGACAGAGAGGCCGAATATTGGCACAGGAGGGCCACCGTAGCCTCCTATGGTCCGCAGGGTCACGATCTCCCAGCTTTCACGTTTGACCCCTTGCCATCGGGTCACCCTGCTTATCCAGAAGCGTCGAGGTCCAACGCTCACTCCCACCTGGACCTGAAGTACAGCAGCAGCAGCAGCGGATACCAAACGCCCCGCCAGGTGTGCCCCTGCTCCCCATACCAGCCCTCGCCGTCTGAAAGCAGGGGCTACGCCTCGGGGTACCAGTCCGAGTCCACGTCCCCGCTGCCCCCGGCCTCCTCCATGACAGGGCCCTGCAGCCATAGCAACGGGCAAGCAGAGCATAACCACCACCACCACCACCATCCGGACTCACAGCAGTCATACGGCTCTGACTCACACACTGGTGAGTCACGGTGAAACAGAGACCTTCAGACATGTGTTTTCCCATAACAGAGTGTATAAATGATCCATAATCAACAACAGCCTGCACTGAATCATTTACGCTAAACTAGACAGATGCCATACACTTAACTCACAAATTGTCTCAATCTGCCACCAAAGCAAACATTGGCAGTAAAGAATATCTTATAACCCCAAATATACAAATAATGTGTGAACTGACTTTACGTTTTTATAAATGTGTTCTATCGTTCCCTTCCTTTTCAGACGGCCTTCGTAGTTCTGGTGAAAGTGTGGGCTGGAGGGATCACATTACCCACGGTTCCTTTAAGAGGGTCCACAGAGACAACCACGCACCATGCTCCACGCCGTCTGACATGTCTGGACCGCCCACTCCTGTACACACCAGCAGCCCGCTGCGCACACAGGAGAGGTATTCAACGCTCACTCTTTCACTTAGAGGGACAGTAGTGTCAGTTTGAGTGATCCTCACTGTCAGGGGAAGGGAACGTTTGGATGGTCTGAAGTACTTAAAGATGTCCATCATAGTCTTGTTGTCCAATGTCTTCTGTAGGCAATACACTGACTCCATCTTAAACACAGCCTGGTATCTGCTATAAATAAGACACCTTGTTATCATGACTTGGCCCGCATTCTTTCTTTAGAATTTGATGAGACTTTATTCACACCTGGAAGAGATCTGATCACAATGAGAGCCAGACCACCTTCAGAAGGCTGATCTGGCTGATCCCATTCCACACATTCTTGCATCATCAGGTGCATATTATCCAACAACGATATCCAGATACAAGTTGCAGGTTACGGCAAGATGAACATGGGGTATTGATAAGAATAAAGATTCAATAAAGGATGTCAGATAAGAACTTTTAGAAACATTGGTGATTACTGTGATAGTAATTCTCTTTTGTGTCCATTGAAGCCAAAGTCCAGGAGGAAGAGAGTACGAGATCCGGACCACAGACATCCTCAGCAGTGACTACGAGGCCCCCCAGCCCCAGGAGGGACACCATTGTGCGGATATCATCGCCCAAGAATCCCTGGAAAGCCAAAGAAGCAGCACAGACCTGCCATCGCTACCGCAGACAACCAAAGACACGCAACCACCTGTTCTACCCCAGAACCACTGCACTGCACCCCCTGACCGCTCCCTCACTGCCCCCCAACAGCAGCACTGTAGCCCAGACACACCGTCAGCTTTGACGACGCAGAACACTTCTTCTTTTGATTCTGCAACACCGAACACATCAAACCAGGCCCTCTGCCAGGCTCCTTCATCCCCTATCTGTGCTTCGTCTGTACCGGATACAACCCCACAACCTGGCCCCATCACAGTCCAGACCCCCCATCCTTCAGAAGCTGCTGCTCTAGCGTCCAATGGGGAACAGACAGTGCCACCGACTCAGAGCCAAACCCAAGGCGCCAGACAGACCTCAGCACAGGTCAACGGACCTTCTCAACCATCTCAACCAGAAACGGAAAAACCAATGACCCCGAACACAACGCCTGCTCCTGCATCTCCTAACAAAGCTTCATCATCACCCCCACAGCCGGCCTCCAGCAGCGGGGAGGGCTCCCCAATCTCTGACACCCCAGTTCCGGGCTTTGCCACTTTGGGTAGGAGGTTGATGTTGAGTGGGTCAGACCCCCATCATCCGAACCACATCCAGCACGGACCCCAACACCACCACTACCCAGGCATGGAGCACAGCGCTGCCGGACACTCCTCTGCACTGGGCACCAACAAGAGGCCCTGCTACTCAGCTCACCCCCCTCAGCTCTATCCATCCTCCTACTCCAACTATTCCACCATCTCCATCCCGCTGCCTCACCCCCAGCCACCTCTGCCAGAGAAGCGCCACCTCCCGGTCCAGCCAGGTTCCCCCAACGACAGCGTGGGAACTCTGAGGACAGCTGGAGGACACGTGACTCCCTCCAACGGCAGCATCGCCCAGCATCAGCACCATGTCACATTCTCTCCCACCGTGGGGGAGATTGCAGCCCCAGCAGGCAAAAATGATGCAGCGGCGTTGGTGGAGAGCGAGAACAGGGTCAGTGTGAAGTTTGTCCAGGACAGTTCCAAGTTCTGGTACAAAGCCGGCATCTCCAGAGAGCAAGGTAGGTCTGAGAAGAGGGAACTCTTTCATTACTTTGATGTTCTTTTGCTTGATTATGAATAAAAGTTTTGTTTGTACGGACACTCTTCTAGTGAGAATCCATTTTCAAAATCATATTTGTTTCGGTTACTGTGTGAATTTGTATTATTTAAACCTGTTACGCAGGTGGGGAACATATCTTTTTCTAGGTTAATTTAGTTTCTAATTCAAATTAAAAAGTCAAACTGAATCTTGTTGTATGTCCTAACCTAAGTGAATGAACGTGTCCTAAAAGTGGCAGATTAAAATACATTTCTGGCCAAAACATGACAGTAATGGTACATGACTTGCTAACTAATAAATATATTACTTATATATTTAGAACCAAATTTGAAGAAAATGCAAATGCTTTAAGCACTATTTCACTTGTTTCCACCTGCTCTAGTGTATAATAATCAGAGCGGAGAAAGCCATTAGACCAGCCCTGTTTTGGCCTGCCAGGGCTTCCGTACGTTTGCTATGATCAGACACATTTCAGTAGATATATTAACATGTTGGTTGTGTTTTCTCGCAGCAATTGCAGCCCTGAAGGAGAGAGAGCCAGGAACCTTCCTGATCAGGGACAGCAACTCTTTCCAGGGGGCCTACGGCCTGGCCTTGAAGGTGGCTACACCCCCTCCCAGTGCAAACAACCACAACAGCAAGGGTAAAAAGGGTTTGCATCATTTAAAAATAAAATATTTACATTCTCTCCTCTCCACAGGCTATTTTACATTACATTTTATGTGGCAGTTGCTTTGTCCGTAGGTAGACAATAACACTTGTTTAAAGTGAATCTGTGCTGTTTCAGTGAGCGACCCTCTGGAACAGCTGGTCAGACACTTCCTGATAGAGACGGGCCCTCGGGGAGTCAAGATTAAAGGATGTCAGAACGAGCCCTACTTCGGTATGTTTTCCTGAACCAGCTTAAGAATGCTTTTCATGTCTGTGTCTCATGGAAAAAGATTGAAAAGCCAAGAATGGGGCATGCAGCGCCCAATAATGTAATCATTTCCTGACAATGTCAACTAAATAAAAAATGTAATTGCAATCAACCTGATCAATATTATATTTAGACAAAATGATGTTACGAATAAAGTCATCCTGACTGATTATAAAACATTTTTAATCCATAATGTAATACATTCAGAAACCACTTTAAGTTACTACATATTCAATTGTATTTTTGTCAAATGGATAGAACTCTACATATTCATACAGTACATATCAAAAAATCAGAAAAAAAAATGACTCACCTTAAAAGTATAACTGTATTGCAACAGTATCAGTCAGGACATAATATAACATTATTCACAGTATTACAATATTAGAGTAGGAGTCAATTAACACTGTGGGTATAAAGGTAGGAACCTATGTTTGTTGGTTAGAGGTTCCGCCGGAAGGCCATACAGTTTTTGACCACACACGGAGCACACACGGAGCACACACGGAGCACACACGGAGCACACACGGAGCACACACACAAGGAGCACACACACGGAGCACACACACAAGGAGCACACACACAAGGAGCACACACACAAGGAGCACACACGGAGCACACACACAAGGAGCACACACGGAGCACACACACAAGGAGCACACACGGAGCACACACGGAGCACACACACAAGGAGCACACACGGAGCACACACACAAACACGGGATTACAAACAAATGCAAAAGGTATTGTGTGAACCGTAATATCGTGTGGTGAATGATGGAAAGAAGCAAGTAAAATGGAAACCAGTAAAAAGGGAAATAAATGGACTGTTTCGAACTGGAAACTTTGTTTCTGACTTTTATTCAGCAGCAAACTTTGTGTGCGTCAATTACGCCAACATAGCGGACCCTCAGAGGCTTAAAGCGTTGGCTTAGCCTCTACAATTAGGTTTCATTACAGTTTTTAAAAGTGGAATTTTGAATAGGCGTTTTTTCGAAAATGATTCAAATCTCAGGGGCTCTAAGGCAGCTTAAGGAAAGATCATTATTGACCTCTGGGGAATGTAATATATTTGTACTGTTATCCACAGGGAGCCTGTCTGCATTAGTCTACCAACACTCCATCACGCCCATCTCCCTACCCTCCGCTCTCAAGATCCCAGAAAAAGGTTTGTACTTTTTTGTAAGCGGGAGCAACTTCAAAAATATCTGTATCATCAATTAATCACCTGCTTATTTTGTTGGGTAATACTTTTGTATAAATCATTTGACAGGAAATGCACTTTTCATCTGATATGATTGCTTCTTATCCCTCTCAGATCTGATAGGAGAGGCTCCGGAGGTTCTCCCGGTGAATAACATCAGCACGGCTGCTGACCTGCTGAAACAAGGAGCAGGTGACCCCTCTCTTCCTCTAACAGGACCCTGTGAGGTGTGTTCATGATGCTCACCTCTCTGTCTGTCCCTCCCCTCAGCCTGTAACGTCCTCTACCTGAACTCCGTGGAAACAGAGTCTCTCACCGGCCCCCAGGCCATCGCCAAGGCAACAGATGCCTCCCTGGGTCGTAACCCTCGTCCCGCTGCCACCGTGGTCCAGTTCAAGGTGACATCGCAGGGCATCACGCTGACCGACAGCCAGCGCAGGTACCAGAGTCCCTGGAGGATTACAGCTTAAACATGTGTTAGCATTGTAGCACTTCCTGGCTGCCTCATCTTAAAGTCAATCATTCTTTGAAGTTTGTATTGCCTAAATAAGGTCTGTGGTTAGACAAGCTTTCAAGATTAACTTTTTTCTACGACATAAAATACTTCAGTAAACTTCCCACTGGTGACCGTCTGATGCTTTAGCATGCCTAAAAAACAGCAGTTGCTAACAAGAGGCTAAATGAGATTAATAAACGTCACAACGCAGAAAATGAGCCGCCTTTAGCTTAGAGGTGGTGAGGTGAAGTCATGCGATCATCATGTAGTTTCTTAGGATCAAATGCAGTAGGAACTCTGCCCTTTTACAAACTGCATAAGACATACTATGTACTGTATCAGGACACACTTGATCTTTTTTCGGGCTCACTTACTGACTAATGTTAGTTTTTGAACCAGAACCAAGTCCAACATGTTGCCCAGAACTGACTAGGTAAGGCTTGTTCTTTGCCTTTTGCTTCTAAAAGCAGTTGTTGATCACTTGCAGCCCCTACTGGTGGGTTCAGAGGAGTGAGGAGGTTTGTTGTTTCCACCACAAGAGGTCCTTAAGCATACAGTCAGAAATGAGCAAAAGTAATATTAGACCAAAGTGTCATTGTATCTTTCTCCTTCTAGGGTTTTCTTCAGGAGACATTACCCAGTGAACAGTGTAACCTTCAGCAGCATCGACCCCAAGGACAGGAGGTAAAGACGGTTGCTATCTTTTGTGGCTCTTGTAGCTGTAGTTTGAACCATAAACTAACCTCAAATCTGCAGAAATCCCCACCAACAAATGTTGTGTGTGCTGCTCCCATGACCATCCACTGCATATATTGCTGTGAGCCCTCGCATGGATCTGTACCTCTGTTTTTATTTATCAGTGCCTTTGTTAGCAAGCATGAGAAACAATAGGCGATGTGTGCTGAGGCTGCAGCTGCATTGGCTTGTTTAGCAGCGTTGTGTGTGTGTGTGTGTGTGCGTGTCTGAGACCGGTTTCTCTCTCTGCTTCAGGTGGGCTAACTCAGACAACAAGGCTGTTAAGTAAGTGCTCTGTTTGTGTCTAATTTCTATGTAACAGAGAAATAGTAAGAGTGTATGCATGTGTGTATTTTAAAATGGGTGTTCAGATTCCCCCCGGAGTCCGAGCTCTGCATGACATCAGATTGCGTGTGAGCCTTGGCAAATTCATTCCAGCAAACACGATTGAACTAAATCAAATCTTACATCACCCCTTATTACATAATACTGATTGTTCCATTGTAGTTGACGCTACGGAAGCCCTGAGAGGCCAGTTCTATTTGTTCCTAATTCATTTAAAGTGTGATCTAAAGAGTTACAAACAAAAGAAAAGTTTTACAGAGATTATCTTCCGTATTTATTTTCATAGAATCTCTGAAACAGGAGGAAAAAATATGTTTTTGCAAGAAAATAATTATTCTAAATGGCTTATTTACTCATTACTTATTAACATGTGAAATAAATGTTTTGTTCTAAATAGCTAAAAACCATAAATGTTCTCAGTTTTTCCATGAACCCTAATAATAAGCCTCTTGAAGCCGAAATGATTATCAAACACTGAATTAATATTCCCACAAAAACTAAACTTTTTCACCTGTTTTAAAGGAAACTAAGAAAATTAGAAAGATTAATGAGCTTTTAACAATTAACCTGGGACCAAAGGTTTCAGTCGTAAACTATTTAGATCGGACCTACAGTAGAAAAGGTCACAAAAAAATGAATACAATCACACTTGTTGCTCAGGACTTCTGTATACTCCAGTGGGCTGTTACAGAGAGACTTGGAGTACTAGACAACATGTTTCTCCCTTCCACTTATTATTGATTAATTATGATTGATTCTAAATAGGCTGTGTCTTCACATGCTTTCTCTTCCTCCACCTTTCTCCCCTCAGGGTGTTTGGTTTTGTAGCCAGGAAGCCAGGCAGTGTGGCAGAGAACGTGTGCCACCTGTTCGCAGAGATGGACCCGGAACAACCCGCCTCCGCCATCGTCAACTTCATCAACAAGGTCATGTTGTCTCAGCGCCGATAGAGGCAAGAAAGAGACGGAAGCCAGAGCAGATGGACAGTGGCATGGAGATGCATATATAAAGCTTGTTATGCACTGTAACGACTCAGTGAGAGTGTTTTCGGAGTCTGGGCCCTGACACCAACGCTCCTTGTCCATCAATTGGTGTAAAGACATTTGCATTACTCTGTCTGCTCCTAGAGGGCTGTTGACAATACAACACTACTTTTTATTTTTCTCATATAGTACGTGATCATTGGAGGAACTGTTGTGAATCAAACTAAGCCATGATGTAAAGTGTTACAGCTCCTCCAAGGACAAGGAGGCTTCAGAGAAAACTTCTACAACAGTGGATTTACAAGAACAAATTGAAATGTTCTGCGTCTAAGAGGGGCCTGTTTCATGAAGAGAGACTGAGGGGAAATTCAGCTATCTTGGGCCATAACTCAGGATTTCTGGCATCATGAAGCTAACCTACTCTTAACCAGGGTAGAACACCATGGTTACCTGGTAACAGAGTTCAGAGAATCAGATTTAAACCCATAGTCAGACCTCTTACACAAATTATAAAGTGTACTTTTCTGTGTGGCCGAGCGCTTCAAGTTTAAAAAAACATGTAAATCCGCAAACGGCTGGTAACGTCACTGTAGAAACTGGAAGAGAAGCTTGTTTTTGACAAAGGCCACAATAACCATTTGTCTGCAACAGGCGCATTTAGTCCCACAGTAGTAAAAGATGTAACCTATAATATTTGGACATAAGAATGAATATATTGCATTGATCATTTGTGTAATATCACAATTACCTTTTAGACATCTTTATTTGTATAAATGTCATATCAAAGGCCACATAATCTCACTTTTTCAGATTTTCTAACCAATCCAAAAAGTAGGGGGGGGGGGCTCGGTTTTAAAAGAGGTGATGTCACATGGTTTGGTGCACCAATCAGGATCAGAAACATCTGAATCTGGTAGACCAGATATTTTGGATTCTTAAACTTATCTTACACTTTTCTTCCTTAAATGTAGCTCTTCAATAGTGAGTTGCATTTAGAAATATTCATGAATGGATTCTAAGGTTCCAGGAGCTTTTTGTAGTGGTTGTTACAGCTTCATGATACCAGTGTTCCAGAGTTACCGACTACGTTTAACTCACTTTGTGAAACAGGCCCGTGGTTAAATACAACTTTTATCATGACTGAAGGAGCTTTAAAGGACACACACATCAGACTGTGGGAAGATATTACAAAGAGGACATTTCCTTGCACTGTTTTGGGGGTGAAAAGCCTGAACATGTTCAACCATTAAGACATAGGAACTTCCTTTAATAACAGAATATTCTGTTATAAAGTGACCAAAGCCCTGATAATGTTATTACACCTATATTTTGAGATTTGCAGGTATTGACATGTATGTACCGAGCAGTTACAGCCACTCTTGCCTTCATTATAACAGCTTTAATCATAACCGACAATCGCATACACTTACTACATCGGAGCGAGGAAGAGACATAGCTCTCTGATGAAAGTAAACATGAATGTGAGGTTTTTAAACTTTTAACGAGTGTGTGTGCGAGGTAGTGGCCTGTGTGTGTGTGCGGGGTAGTGGCCTGTGTGTGTGTGCGAGGTAGTGGCATGCATGTGTCGAGGGTATTTCGGGTAAGGTTTTCGTTAACGTCCATTTTTAAAGATATGTATGTGACATGGGGGAAACGCTAGATGAGGGAGGACGTAAAGTGTTCAAACGCACCGTTGCTGTGTTACCAAATTCAGTATAAAACAGAGCAGGCCGGTAAACACACACAAAGCAAAGCAGTGGCCTAAAGACAGACGTACTTAACCAAAGACAAAGCACTCTTGTATTAATAAGCTTTTTATCCTGCTATATTTTTGTACTTAAAGCTTCTTGTGTTTTTACTCTATGCATTTATTTTAGTGTGTTGCCTTGAAACGTAGAAAAACACTACTTGTATTACAGCGATAATATATTGTGGTCTGTTTTTTCTTGTTGATCTCTATATTATGTAGTAATATATTTTCACATGCAGCTATAGGACCGTGTATGAGATATAAAAAAAGGAAACGTGTTTGTTTATAAAGGACATTATGCTATTTTGTATGCCAAAAAATGAAGAATAGATTAAACAGAAATGATGTGGTACCTAAAGTGCTCTGTGTTCAGCGTTTGTTTTTTTGTGTGCATGTTTGTATCTTCCTCTCTATCTGTCTGCAGCTAGTCTTGTATACCACTGGACTGATCCACCTAAAAAACTAATTTCTACTATTCTGTTTGTGGTGTTTCAGAATTTTTGAAAAACTATTTCATTTACTTTTTTAATTAAATAACCGACAGCTGAATTCTCACTCCCCTTAACCAGCCTGTGATCAGAACTGCTTCAATAGCAAAATGCCACAAAACAAAACATTAGGGTAGTGGGTGAGAAACTAACATCGATACAAAAATCCATAAAAAAGGTTTGGTCTATTTTTGAATCAGACAATTTGCAGATTAATTCCATACCTCAATTTCATACCAATATACACATATTTTTGCAGGCAAACCTAGACGTTAGCATCTCAAGGGTTAGGGTTAGGGTAACGCTCCCTCAACAAAAAGCCAATGCCAACGATTTGTTCGGCAGGATAATCTTCACATATTAACACCACTTTGAGTATACTTGAAGCGTAAATCCACACAGCAGAAGTGAAAAGCTAAATTAAAAGGACTGCATCTTTGTCGCATGACTTCCTGTCACCACTGCTAAGCTAAAGGCGGCTAATGTTCAGCATGATGACCTTAAGCAGCCTCATTTAGCCACTTGTTAGCAACCACCGTTGTTAGACACATAGAAGCTTCAGAAATTCACCAGTGGGCAATTTATTGACTTATTTTGGGCCGTAGAATGTATGAAACTCTGGAGCTTTTGTTTACCACAGAAAAGATTTCCGACAACAAATCAAAACTCTTTTAAAAGACCATTGACTTTCAGATGAGGGAGCAAAATGCTAACTAATTTACGGGACTCATTCCTGTGCCTCTATTTATGAATAAGTTCCAATCCTGTGGGGAATTATGTACCTGCGCTTGCTGTCGGTGAGCGCGATGACCTGTGATGTCATCTTGAACTGGACTACCTTCTAATCTGTTGCCTTGGCGATGGCCTGGGGGGCCGGTGAGAGACTCTGTTTCCACGGAGTTCAGGTAGAGGACGTTACAGGCTGAGGGGAAGGACAGACAGAGAGGTGAGCATCATGAACACACCTCACAGGGTCCTGTTAGGAAGAGAGGGGTCACCTGCTCCTTGTTTCAGCAGGTCAGCAGCCGTGCTGATGTTATTCACCGGGAGAACCTCCGGAGCAATCATTTCAGATAAAAAGTGCATTTCCTGTCAAATGTATTTAGAGACAAAACAATTACCCAACTAAAAAAGCAAGAGATTATATGTTTTAGCTGCTCCTGCTTAAGATAAACCTTTATCTGGGATTTTGAGAGCGGAGGGAAAAGAGGCCAGGCTCTAGGATCTGCCATTTTCTCGATAAGGTATTCCTTTTATGCTATTACACAAAGAAAAGTAAGGAGCAGGACAGGTTTGGCTCTTTGCTAAAATAAGAAAGAGATTAAATGGTAGAAACATGGCATTTATAAAGTGCTTTCCATTCGTAGAAACCACTCAAAACACTTTATAACCCAGGCCAACAGTTACCCATTCACACACTGGTGGCAGAGGCTACCATACATGTGTGACCTGCTCATTCGGACACACACACACACACACAGTATGTCACCAAACTCCGAAAGACTGATTTTTTTGTTAGCATCATGTCATTAACTGCTATTCAAATAATTGATTAGAGCACCATTTCGATCATGCTTTCACTTGACAATGGCTATATTCATAACTTGAGATGAGTCATTGAGTTAAAAGCTGGATAGAAGAAAAAGGCCTTTTGTGTAATTTCCTCACAACTACCTCTTCAATTACTCTGTGACGGTGTTTAAATCTAAGCTCATTAGGACCAACAAATGATTATATATGTACAACCATCTATGTTGCTGTCAGTGAATTTCTTGCAAATTAATTGGCGATTTCTTATGAATGTTTTTAGCAAAAAAAAGAGACTCTGAAACAACAATTATTGGGCTTCATTATTAGTTTTATTTATTCAAACATCCCTTTAATAACTTTTAAGCATGACAATATACAGTAAACCGTTTTTGTTTTTTTAAACCCTGGTAAAATCAATCTCACATTTACAAACTGTCCCTTTGTAAAATAACAAATCTAAATTGTTTTAAGTTACTTTGATTCCATTTTAAAGTCAACCTCATGACAGAACAGATCCTGTAGCAGAAACAATTAGACAACATTTTGTGAGGTTTCAGCCAACAGCCATGAATAGTGATAATGTACTTCCTGATTGGAGGATGAGAAATGAGTCATACGACAGAGGAGTTGATCAAAACACGCAGATGAAGGGTAACGCAGAGGAAATAACCGTGTAGATCGATTACGGTCTGACCGAATGCAATTAAACTTAAAAATACACACACTTTCATTCATTAACGGTTTTCTGTTGCACATCTGGATTTTTAAGGCCATCTTTGAAAGGATACTGCATACAGATGTTCAACAGCACATCCTATATTCCTCAGTAGCTTAGCTAGGAGTGTAAATGATAAAAAATATTGTCCGTTACGGTCATTAACTCCAGAATATCCTAGTTTATAATAAGACGTAAGCGCTGAAATGCAAATGACAACAAATTCCAGAGATTTGTTTTTAAAGTAAGAGTCGTCTTACCAGTGTTTATAACTTAAGAGCAGCTGATAAAAGCTTTGTCAGGATCATCTTTTAAAACGTTAAAAAAACAAGGTGGAAAATAAAGTTGGCAGGTGAATAACAAAAAGTGTGGCGTTTATTGTTGTAATACCCATTTTGACCACAACAGGTCGAAGTGCACTACTAAAACATTGTGTCCCATTACTGTCATGTCTCTTTGACCAATCCTTCTATTGGCTAGAAATATATTTTTAATTGACGTTAAAGAAAAATAAATGCTTGCCGAAATTAATATTACAACACACGATCATTTTCACCAGTTTTAAGATTTAAAAGAAAACAGAATAGTGATTGTTGAAAAAAAAAATCTTCACCTGGAAAAACTACCTTTTCTCCACCCGTTTCACAAACAAGAAACACTTGAATCACCTGTTCTTTGATTACTGGATTTTTTCCCCCCCAACTCCATCTCAGGGCCTCCGTATTAGCTTCGGTAATAGCTTATACAAAACATGCAGCCTGAGAGCAGTTTCCTCTCTGTGACACTCCTCTGCCCTGAATCTAAAATCAGTATGCTTACACCTGCTGTGAAATAACATCTCAACTCCTTTAAAAACATCTGTGATATGTTAAATGCCATTTTCAGCTTCTGCATCAGTTCAATTAAACAGCAAAAGCAATATATTTAACAATATGTCCCAGTTTCGAGGTGCAAAAACATTCAATCATTAAGGTTTCCCTCCTGAGGTCGCACTAAATCCCAAACAGAAAACAGCAAGCCCCCTCCTGTACGCCTCAGCCATCAGTCCAACAGTGCAACATCACATTAATGCTACGCTGCAGAACGCTCCCATGTTACGACAGCACACAGCCACGCAGCGTTAATTAAAGCTAAATGCCTTTGTCAGCTTGGAATGTCTGCCATTCCCTTTGAAGAAAGAGCTCTCTGTCCTGCCTCTGAAACAGGGACAAAGAGTGCTCGACGTTCAGCTAGTCACTCCTCTATCAGCGTCTGAACATGTGACTCATTCCGTCAGCAAGTTTGAGAAGTCAACCTTTTCTTTAACTCGTATTGCATTGGGCAATGATCAGCCCTGTTAATGTGAGTACAAATCCATAGAAAGGGCAGGAAATATCCACGCCTAACAGGAATTCGCCTGTTGCCCGGCTACATGGTTAAATGGAACGAGTTATCAGCTGCTTATGCAACATAAATAGAGAGCACCATCTGATGGGGTCTGCTGCTGGTGTATGTCTGCATGAAGCATCCTGGAGTGTGCAGCGTCACCTCACAGCAGGGGGGCGCTGAGGGTGTGGCCGGAGGAGGGGTGCCTGTGCTTGGAGCGCGTGGTGTTGGAGCCGCAGTCGATGTAGCGGTACGCCTCCAGGCTGTTCTGGGACGTCCGCACCATGTATGAGGTTTTTACCGTGGTTCTGAAAACAAGCGGAACGATACAGAACTTAAAACCAATTTCTGTCATTACCACAATAAAACCAAAAGACCACATCATAAGGCGCTTTCACACCAAGTACTTTTCCAAGGAATAGTTCCCGGAACTTAGTTCCCCAGAACTTTTATTTCCTGGAACTATCTAGTAAATTGCGTTCACACCGGAATAAGTCCCTGAGGGAGCCACTGACGTCACTTCTTCTTCTTCTGCTTTGGGTTTACTGGCAGGCCGCAAACAACTTCATGGCGTATACTGCCACCCGAAGTCCCCGGCCGGAAGCCTTCCGAGTAAATCGCCAGAACGCAGACACCTCCTCATCTCCACCACTCCCATGTTTTTTTTTGTGTTGCCATAAGTTAGTCTCTCTCCGTTGGTGCGCTGGGCTAATGTTAATGCTAATGCGAGCAAAGAAAATGGCGGCTTCACAAAAACCTTTCAGAGTATTACGGGGCGTGGTTTGCAATCCGCCCAGCCAATCAGAAATTGGAACCTTTTTCTCCCCAGGAAAGTCCCTGCTCTCTAGCAGGCATTGAAAAGGGGGGAAAGGTTCGCAAAAAAAAGTTCTAGTTAAAGATCTTTTTGGTGTGAACGCAAAATCGGAACTATTCCTGGGAAAAGTACTCCGGTGTGAAAGCACCTATATTTACTTTTCTATAACTTTCATTAATGTGGACCTATCATGCTATATTTGAATAATATATTGTAGGGCCATACCTATATAAAACATGTCTGTGAAGTTTTTTTTTCAAAATACCAAACAGATCATGCATTTTAGCCATGCCTCATTTCGCTCTATTTTCCAGCCCTGTTTTTGCAAGGGCTGATTCTGTGAGAAGTCTTCTTCGCTGCTTTTGTGGCAGACTACAGCGCCACTTACAGGCCTGGCATATGTACTACAGTGTCTCCAGCGCTTTCGAGCGGCAATGGCCGTGGCCCAACCCCCCATTCCCCTGATAGGTGGAGAGTTGCCCATATAGGCGGAGCTCCCTGTTTCTGACGTCAGAACAATTTCAAATCTGTATCAGCTCCGTTGCAGCCCCGTTTTTAGAGATTTGGATATGGAGGAAAAGAGAGAGGGTGTGTTTTCTGACACTTGGTGAGTTCCCTGACGCACCGGGGACACATTCATGTATAAAAGACGTACAAAAGTGCATTTTGCATGATAGGTCCCATTAGCCGTGTTCACACCGGAGTACTTTTCCCCGTACTTTTCGCGTTTAGTTCCGTTAGTACCCCTTATGTCTCGTTCACACCAAAAAGAATACTTAGTGCCGGGAACTTTTACCCCCATTTTTAGTGCCTGCTGAGAGGTGGTACTTTCCTGGGGGAAAAAAGTGCCCCAGTTCTGATTGGCTGGGCGAATTGCAAACCACGCCCCGTAAAACTCTGAAATGTTTTGTAGAGCCGCCATTTTATTATCCTCGCATTAGCATTAGCATTCGCCCAGCGCACAAACGCAGAGAGACTAACTTATGGCAACACAAAAGAAAACATGGGAGCGGTGGAGATGAGGAGGTGTCGGCGTTCTGGCGATTTACTCGGAAGGCTTCAGTAGAAGCTGCTGGGAGTCCCAGCAGCTTCTACTGAAGTCAGTCCCCAACTCCGGGGACTTCCGGCCGGGGACTTCGGGTGGCAGTATACGCCGTGAAGTGGTTTGCGGCCTGCCAGTAAACCCAAAGCAGAAGAAGACGAAGTGACGTCAGCGGCTCATTTGCGTAATCTTCCCTCAGGGAACTTATTCCAGTGTGAACGCGATCTGTACTAAGTGCCCTGGGGTAATAAGTGTCGGGGCACTAATGGCGCGTTTCCACTACACGGCCTCGCTCGGCCCCGCTCGGTATGGCTGGGCCTCGTTAGGACTGGCTCACTTTATGGCGCATTTCCATTACAGTTTAGGAACTGGGGCAGTATCTATAGTAACGCAGTGTAGGCGGAGCCGTGATGTGATCTTCAGAGGACCCCAGAAAAACAACACAGCCGTTAGCTGTTAGCACTCAGAGCTCACAGCTCCTCATATATGTTCAGAAACTAGACAAAAGTTAAACAAGTACACACCACAGACTGCCTGTGTCATGGTGAATACAGTCGCTGCTTTATTTATGTCTGTATAGGCCGTTGTTGTGAGTGTGGACGGTCGGAGCATATACTGCGTTAGCTTAGCCAATCTCCATTTAGAACACACGCATTTTAAAAGGTTTTTCGCCTGCCGTCTGTCTGCAGACTTGTCAAAGCATTAATTCATGGTTTTTACTAACCGGTATCAGTATGTTGTTACTTCGGCATCATTTTGAAACGTGTATTACAATTAAATCACGGTCAAATATGTCCATCTTGTTGTAGTTGTTGCCCCCTTGCCAGCGACGCTCTCTCTAGTTTAGCATACTCAGCCCGACTCAGCCTCGTTGTCTCTGGCCCTAGAACCACGATTTTATGAGGCCAGAAAAACTGTGAATTAGGACCCGCCGGCCGGTACTAGGCCAAGTGGAAACGCAACCAAAGACGGGCCGCTGACGTCACAGCCCTCTTAAACCGGGCTGCGCGCTGTAGTGGAAACGCGCCATTAGTGCCGGCACTAAGTACGGCAAAGTACTTGGTGTGAACGCGGCTCTTTAAATGACTGAGAAAATACTGAGTAATGAGCCTTTTATTTATTTTAAATCATTTTCATAATGTTTACATATGTTATCAATTATATTACCGCTGAAGAATGGTTATTTTTGTAAGTACAATGTGCACATTTTACTTTTACTTTCTTTATTTTAATATTCATTCTTTTTTTATTATTATTAAATGGAGCTAAAATAGAACTTTAACTTCTTATATTTACATTCTTATTTAACTTCCTGTATTGTATATTGTATATATTTGTATTATATATTTGTATTCTACTATTTTTTTGTATGTAATATTAATATGTTTACATTTAAATCTTCATTCTATTTTATGATTAAATGCACATTCTTACTTTAACTTCTTATCGTTATATTATTATTTTTATTTTCTAAAATGGAACAACTGACACAAAACCCAATTTCCCTCGGTGTATATCAAACATTCTGATAAACCTCCTCACAGCGCTGCCACAGTCCAATGTTGATTGAAATGTCCACGTTAAAGATGAGGCTAAGTCGGGCACAGCCCTAGAAAGGATGCTTGTTTATTCTCTAAAGCAAGACCCGTGATGTCCCTCCTTGAGGAAGTGGCCTGTGTGGTGACAGCGTCTCAGTGTGACATAACACGACACAAGTGACAGCTGGCTGTTGGCTGATAAGAAAATGTATGATGGTGCAAAAGTGGAAAATAACTAACAGTTACTCAAGTGTTTCATTTGGACAATTCTGACAGAAGTACTTTCCTATTGGACTGTTTGCTGCTACACTCCACTTCAAAAAGGTTCTTTAACACCGCTGCATTTCTCTGACAGATGTAGTTACTTTTTTTCTTATTGTTTTTATTTAGAACTGAGCCATAACGTTTTGTTTTCTCATAACAATGGAAAAACTGTATCGTTGATTGATTTAGTTTTTCATGTTTCAATGTTCCAAAAAAATACTATTGTGTAGGTAAATTAGATATAAAAATGATGAACCTTATACAGTTTTTAAATATACTGTACTTTTATTTTGATGCTGATTGTACTATATTTACTACATATTGGAGTATTTGTACATTTGTAAGTTCAGAGGGCAACATCTCAGTACTTGTGAGTTTGAAAGGTGAAGAGGAACTTACTGCATAGAAACAACAATGTTGTGGACTTTTATGCTGGGCATGGTACAGAAGGCGCTGAAAAAAAAAAACACAACAGAAAATATTTAAACTGGAATAAATAAAAATCACATTTAATTCCACTCATTGTCTCTTTGTGTCATTTAATGAAAAAAATGAAGGTTAAAGGGGCACTCATACTTTAAATTGTCAGGTCGATGAAAAGTAGATCAGACAGACTTACTAGACGTAGGGGGCGCTGCTCCCGATCTCCACACTGACGGTGTAGTTCACCTGCAGGACACAGACACAAACAGATCAACAGGCTGTGGTCTGGAGCTGATAAGTAACTTCAGTGTTTATCAGTGAGATAAAGGAGAAAGACAATATACACACAGCTAGACGTTTCAAAGGGAATGTGTGGTAAAAAAACAACAAGGTATCACAGCTAAAGTGCAACATCAAAACTATAACATGAGAATAATGATGGACAAATGATGAATCCCTCCTTTATCGTAATGTCAGTCAAAATAATCAGTTATTGTTCCAAATCGTGTAGCCATCTTCTGACTATCTGAAACATGCATTTCAGAACAAAACAATACATATTATTTTTGCTTTACTCAACAAATAGGAGGAGTAGTTAAAAACCAAGAAAATGTGAATGTTTTGGTCATACATATTGGATTCTTGTAAATGTACCACTTTAATTATGGGTAGGAAAATATATCATTATTATATCAATATCCAGACTAGATAGTGTCGAAGATTTTGGATATCTTAATAACGCACGAGTGTCTTTACCTGGTTTTAAAGGCTGGAAGTTGATGTCATTTTCTTTATTTACCCGACTGTTCTAGCTATATTTCAATTTGTCTTCCCTATTTAGCCATTGTCTCCACATAAATGTTGATTATTTATCAAAGTTGTGTAAATATTTCTGTGAAAGTACCGACGGTCAACCCTAAAAAATCTTTGCTATATTGATATTTAACACATTGTACATGATAGGCAATGGGACGGGACAGCTCTAAACAGTGGACCAATCACCACAGAGCCGGCCAGCTAACCAATCAGAGCAGACTGGGCTCTGGTTTCAGACAGAGGGGGAAAAGAGGTTCTGCAACACAGGCAGTATGAGAAAAATAAAGAGCTTTTTGAACATTAAAGCATGGAAACATATCACAGTAGAGACACTAAATACAACTTTGAACCTGAAAAGGAGTTTAATAGGGCCCCTTTAAAGGTCCCATGTCATGGCCATTTCTACTGATCGTAATTCCATTGTTGAGGTACACTAGAATAGATTTACATTGTTCAATGTTCCAAACTCACATTGGTTTCTCATACAGCATCTCTGTATAGTATGTGTATTCACTCTCTGTCCTACACGCCTTGTTGGAGCTCCTGCACCCCCCTCCCTGTGAGCCCACTGTGCTCTGATTGGTCAGCTCGCCCACTCTGTTCTGATGAGTCCACCACCGTTACAGCGGAACATCAGTGATTATGTGTTACAATGGCGTTTGTTAGCAACCAGAAAATGACACCAGTAATAACAAACAGATGAGAATGCTGCGTGGGGTCTGGGTGCCGTGTTGGCGGGACGTTGCGGGGCTCGCTGCTCCGCCCTTTGGGGCTCGAGGAGCGGACAGTGTGAGCTGGATTACTGGTGTCGTTTCCTGGTTGCTGCGTGGGGTCTGCGAGACAGCGCGGAGCTCAGCCTGAGCACACACACACTCACAGCCAGGCTGTGAGTGTGTGTGTGTGTGGGGAGATCCGCAGCTGAGAAAAGATAAGGCTGAGTGAGTGTGAGTGTGAGTGTGAGTGTGAGTGTGTGTGTGTGTGTGTGCGGAGCTCCGCGGATTGGTCCATTTGGACCAATTGGTCCATTTGGTTGTCGTTACGTCACAGTGACCAGGAAGAAAAAAATGGAAAAAGAGAAATCTCCAACGAGGCGTTCTGGGGCAGCATAGAAAGGTATTTTCTGTGTTAGAGTTTTACTCGCTACAGGGTATACTTTGAGGGTTTGTGACTCTGCAGACCGTTTACATGCAGAAAAAGCTACATAACACACAAGGGGACGGGTAATAACTGGAAAAGCATGACATGGGACCTTTAATACGACATCATAAGGCACGTTCACACCGGAGTACTTTTCCCACAATAGTTCATCAGAACTACGATATATTTGCGTTCACACCAAAAAGCCCCAGGAACTAAAGTAGTTCAAATTAGTTCATCTGACCCGCTTTTCAGTCCCTGCTAGAGAGCAGGGACTGTCGTGGGAGAAAATAGTTAATACGTCTGATTGGCTGTGCGGAATGCAAACCACGCCCGTTTTACTCTGAATTTTCTTTTGTAAGCGGCCATTGTATTTGCTCGCTTCGGCCAGCGCACCCGAAGAGATTACTTTTGTGAAAGCAGTTATTACAGCAACACTAAATAAATCATCGGAGCGGTGGAGTGATGAGGATGGTCGGCGCTTCTGGCGATTTACTCGGAGGACGCGAAGCGCCGCATTCAGAAGCTTCTACTGAATGCAGTTTCCGTGGCTCAGCAAAGTTAGCAGACCTGGCAAAGTCATGTCGGGACGACTACGAAGGTAAAATAAAATACAGGCACTGCACTGTTTTAATCTGCACAATACTGGTCTTAGATGTACTTTTATTTGCTCAGTAGATCGAGCTAGCCATGCTAGAACTTGCTATCATAGGTCCAAGCTGGCTAACAACATCTAGCTAGCTAGCTAGCTATTCTCAGCCGTAACCGCTATGAACACGTTTTGACTTGTGATTAAGTGTGCAATGTTCTGTAATTTGCTTCACTAACTCATGGCACTAATCGTGTGTTTCAGGCGAGGTGTTTCTCTCTGGATTAGAAACTAGTTTTCCCCTCCGGGATAAAACGATAATATAACTTTAGCAATTAGCATGCTAGCTGGACATAATGCTACCTCTAACAATACATTGTAGTTGCTATAATTTCAAGTCATTTGCAACATTCATTCTACATGTTAATGGTAAAAGCTTAAACAGTTGATTACCTGCATGCCACAAAGACTGATGTTCTAATATTTTTGCACATTTAAGGAGAAATGTAATTGAAATTCTATTTATTTTTCCTTTTTTTTTTTATTGATTGTTATAATTGTACTCAGCCATGTTATGTTAGATGTCAATCCACTTACGCTGTAACTACTCTGGCCTTGAAAGAAGGTTACACATCTAACTGATGTCCACTAATCCCTATATAACAAAGTTCAAGCATACATTAAGCACAAAACAATAAATAAGGGCACTTTGATATTTATTTTTTATTTGATATTATTTGATCCTATCTTATCTTCTACTTTACACCTGCATTTTGCACACTGTCCCTGCCTGCACCATGTCCAATGTTGTCTCTGTTGACAACCTACTAGGCGATTAAACTGATCTTGTATCTTGCTTATTTCTCCTTAGGAAAGCGGGCACGGGATGACAGCTTCCTTGACACCATCATGGCGATGGACTGCCGTGCCATGGTCAGCAAGGAGAATGAGGACCTGCGTGCCAAGGAGATGCACGACGAACGGCTGCTGCATTCACACAAGGTCCAGGAATCGGACGACCAGCTGCTCATGGTGATGCAGCGCCATGCTGACTCGGCGGCGCGCCAGGTGGAGGTGTCGGTGCGCCAGGTGGAGCAACAAAATACCTTTCAGGCTGGGCTTCTGGCAGTGCAAAGCAAGCTGATTAAATCCAGCAGGCCTTCAATAAAAAAAATGAAGAAAAACTTGTCGTCGTTGATAAACTGTACAATGACTTGTTGGGAGGCGTGTGGTGCAGTGGTCTGGTGCGTTGGTGTTCGGATCAGGGGAGCACAGGTTCAAACCCCACTGCAGTCAGCATGTCGTTGTGTCCCTGGGCAAGACACTTTACCCCAAATTGCCTACACCTGGGACAGTTAATTTTGTATTATATATATATATATATATATATATATATATATATATATATATATATATATATATATATATATATGCCACTGTTATTAATACTGACACTTCACTTTGCACTAAGGTGTGTCTGCTGCTGAGCCTATCTATTGTTATATATATATATATATATATATATATATAATATATATATATAATATATGTGTTGATACTACTGACACTTTATTTGATATTGAAAATGTTAACTTCTATTTACATACATACGACACACCTGGGACAACGTGATGCTGTTATTGATATTGTCTTGAGTGTGCAATAAAAGAGAACCTACATGGCGATTAAACGGAGCCTGTATCTTACATTTTTCATTACATTTCATGTAACTAAGCTTGCTTATTTCTCCTCTGACACTTTATATTTACAGTGACCTGTGTAGCATGATACATCACATGTAAGTGATTATTCTGATACCATCATGTTTCATCGGTTATAAACTGGCGAAGCTTTATTTATTGTGGCTTTCAAAAAGATAATTTCATTGTATTTCAAAATGGCGTCCAACACAAGCACTATTTATTTATAGAAAGAGAAATGGTTAAGTTTGTTATTACCAGTGTTGTGAGTGCAATATTTTTAATGAATTATAGTAAGGGAACATCTTAGGAGTTAGTGTAGTGAGTTTCAGAGCAGTGTAATAATTATTTGACCTAAAACTAAATGTTTTTATGAACATGACATGGGGATTTGCTAACTTTTGATTTCCCCCATTTTACACGACACAAATGGAGGCCACTATGGGCCACAACTAACACGTAGGTTTCTGTAGGGTTCATGGCAGACGGATGCAGTTGTTCTCAGGAGGATATATAATAAAGGTGTGTTAGCTGCTGAGCCTATTTATGGCGCGTTTCCACTACAGCGCGCAGCCCGGTTTAAGAGGGCTGTGACGTCAGCGGCCCGTCTTTGGTTGCGTTTCCACTTGGCCTAGTACCGGCCGGCGGGTCCTAATTCACAGTTTTTCTGGCCTCATAAAATCGCGGGTCTAGGGCCAGAGACAACGAGGCTGAGTCGGGCTGAGTATGCTAAACTAGAGAGAGCATCGCTGGCAAGGGGGCTACAACTACAACAAGATGGACATATTTGACCGTGATTTAATTGTAATACACGTTTCAAAATGATGCCGAAGTAACAACATACTGATACTGGTTAGTAAAAACCATGAATTAATGCTTTGGCAAGTTTGCAGACAGACGGCAGGCGAAAAACCTTTTAAAATGCTTGTTTTCTAAATGGAGATTGGTTAAGCTAACGCAGTATATGCTCCGACCGTCCACACTCACAACAACGGCCTATACAGACATAAATAAAGCAGCGACTGTATTCACCATGACACAGGCAGTCTGTGGTTTGTACTTGTTTAACTTTTGTCTAGTTTCTGAACATATATGAGGAGCTGTGAGCTCTGAGTGCTAACAGCTAACGGCTGTGTTGTTTTTTCTGGGGTTCTCTGAAGATCACGTCACGGCTCCGCCTACACTGCGTTACTATAGATACTGCCCCAGTTCCTAAACTGTAATGGAAATGCGCCATAAAGTGAGCCAGTCCTAACGAGGCCCAGCCATACCGAGCGGGGCCGAGCGAGGCCGTGTAGTGGAAACGCGCCATTAGTGTGCATACGACACACCTGGCACAGTTTATTCATTTCACACGTAGCGTAGCGCGTGCATGTCGTCGTCCAATCCTTTTGTCAATCCTTCTTAACCGCCTTCGCTTCCGAATCAGCATTGCTATTGCATTTGACTGGTCGACGATCTGTATTTGTGTTTGCTTAAATAACTCAGACGAAGCTCATGTCTGAGGTCGGAAGGTAAACAGACGCCTCATTTACAGCAAGTGGGCGCGGGAGGTTTTTCTTCTTCTTTTTCTCTCGGTTTTTTGGCGGATTGCAACTTTAAGGTGCATACCGCCACCTACTGTACTCTCCGTGAAGTTGTTTGCGGCCTGCCAGTAAACCCAAAGCAAAAGAAGAAGAAGTGACGTCAGCGGTTCATTTGCCTAATCCACCCCCAGGAACTCATTTTGGTGTGAACGCGATCTGCTTTAGTTCATCAGAACTAAAGGAGCTCTCATGAACTAAAGTTCTCATGAACTATTGTGGGGAAAGTACTTGGTGTGAACGCGCCTATAGTCAACAATGTGGAGGAAGGCCGTGACTACAAGGAAAACACTTGTCAGTACGATCCATTGATTTATTTTGGCCAGAAAGAGTAATATAGGATAACGTTAGCCTTCTTCTTTCTGTTCAAAGTCAGTAATAGAGTTTTTCTTCTTGCACTATTGAATAAAGTAATGCTGCCTTTTGCAGGAGAGTTATGTAATAGTGCTGTGTATTTCAAACAGGCACACCCTCAGCATGCTTTACAGTGATAACAGCTTTGTTTGCATGCTGAACTTTGTACCATCAGGAAGCAGTGTCTCAACCAACCACTGGTGTTGATTGTGCACACAAAAGGCCTTACCTAAAACCTAAACCCCTTCTGTAACTAACACTAACTGATGAGGTGTGTGTACCTGTCTCTGGCTGAGCGGCAGGATGGTGGTGACGTTGTTCAGCTGCTGGTTTCCGATCACCATCTTCATGTAGAGGACCTGGCAGCTCACACTCTGCACCAGCACCGAGAAGAAGTTCGGGTTGCTCAGGTTCAGAGTGCTCTGTGGAAAAGGAAGTTAATAAATATTAAAAAATAAAGAAGGAGAAAATTAGACCATATCATAAATCCCCACAAAAGTCAAATCAAGTTGAATGTTGTTTTGACAGGAAAAATACATCCAATTTGCACATCTTAGAGAATGCAAATGATAAGCATTTTATGTTTAATAAGGTGTATTAGGTACACCAACCTGACATGGGTTTATAATATTATGTCCAATTCATTCATATAAACTAGGGGGTTAAAAACAGAAAAATCTCTCTGTGTTATTTAATACAGTTTAACAAAACCATAAATATCATCCTCAAAAACACATTTAAATTGAAAAAGAACACGTCTGAACACAAACATTTCACTACTGAAACCCAGACAGGCAAGTCATGGAAAAACATTCAATTGACTTGGTTTGATCTGAATTGTTTCCTGTCCTGTGTATATCTAAAAATAAGTGTAACTTGTACTAGAGCTTCGCTACTTAATCCTCAAGGACTAAAGATATTCATGTTTTCTTCCAGGGGAGTTTTAGTGCCTCCATTCTAAAAACACAAGGTACATACATTGAGTTTTAGCATAAGACGCTATATTACTGTCTTTCCTTTGTCTATAAAAGTATTCTAATCTGAGCATGTCATGTGAGAACCTCCATGAGGGTGAAATGAACTGCAGGCCGGTTGTATTAGACAGTATGCTGCATGTATGAGAGAAAACCTACCGTCATGTTCATTAGGACTTTATCTTGGAAGTGGTCGAAGCGTACGGACACAGAGTGTATCCCATCATCCACCACGATCACAGAGCGAGGGAAGAGGAAGAAGGCCACCAGGGAGGAAGCAAGGAGGCACAACACCACTGACAGGACCACATACAGCTTCCTACAACACCAACACAATGATGTTATCTCAAAGCTTGAACACACCAGGATGAAAATGTTTGTAATGCAAAAACATACATTCGAATTGACTGACATAATTAAATTAACAGCTGGGAAACATAAAAACATGATTTTTCATACGTTCTTTGGGGTTGTAGCCTTTGGTCGCTGTATGGGATCAGTGCAACCAGTTCATTCACTTGATCTATAAAGTAAGAGATAAAGGGTCATGTAACATATTGACAACTGTTGGTCTCAAATCATAGTATTGAATAGGGTAGCACAATTTGGAAAAAATATCTTATTGCGATTATTTTTGACTGAAATTGCAATGGATTCGCAATTTTGGATGGAATAAACACATTTGAAACATTACTCATCATTGAAAAATGTATACAAATTAGTAGCGAGTTGTTTTTTAGCACGACCTGAATCAAACAACATTTTGTATTAAGTCTGTAGAATAGCAAATATTGAAGTTGATACATTGTGCAGCCCTAGGTAAACACAAAGTCTCGCGAGGACAGCCTCTCCCTTACATTGAAAATAATAAATGCTAAAAGTTCCTTTTAGATTATTTAAGTGTCATCAAATGACATTGCTTTGGGCTCTTAAATACCAGTTTAAATGACATGAGCAGTGTAAACTTTGTAAGATGAACCACAGACCATTAATAGACATGTCTGCCCAGTGCTTACCGCACATAAAATAACTGCAACTAAATATGTTCAACACTTTTAAGACTAAAATTGGATATTAATTGTGCAATAATTCTGACGTAAGGCACCTACGTATAAGCATAATTCCAAGCTATCTTCAGTGATGTATAACGTTGTTTCTACTCACCTGAGGGTATCCGCCCGGTGCCTTGGCATGTCGGGCACGTTATGCTGTCCCTGCCTGTGAACTCAACGTAGGGGAACTGAGCTATGTCCTCGCGCCGCACGAGCCCGTCCAGAGAGTCGTTATCGGAGTTGTTGTCCTCTCCCTGCCGCGCGGAGCTCTGCCTCTCCGGGAGGAGCGACAGGCTGCTCTCGCTGCGAGACCACTTAGCCCCCATGGCGGATTAACTAGAGTTTCCCATCGACTTGCGGTCTGCAGGTGGATGAGAACAAGCCATAAAGCCATAAAGCCATAAAGCCATAAAATATGCAAGGAAACTGACGCAGGAGCGTTATGTCAGCTGTGGTTTGCGGATAATGCCCCTGTGTCCGCCGGTAATAACCGAGAGTATATCCATTAACCAGAATCAGCTGACAGTCAAAATGTAAAGTTAGCAGAATGCAATGTTGTCCAGGCGTGGCGTAGCTAGCATGCTAACTAATGGTCCTGTTCTACAGGTATGCTGTAAGCTCCCAGTGCCTGTAGCCACCTGCAGCGTCAGTTGGCTTATTTGTACAAACTGTACTTACCTTTTAGACCGAAAAGTTCAACTTTGCCATCCCAAAGTCTGCTTTACACCATGGTTTAACTTTACAGCAGTGCGCACTCACTGCTTTCTGTCAAACAAAAGTGTACGTTCATGTTTTGTTGCCTTCACGTGCCCTGCGTAGCGTACGTTCTTCTTCCATCAACGGCAGCTGTATTTCTGGATCAACTATTTCCTTAATTTGCATTCTAGTGGTTAGTATAGCTTAAATTGCGTTATATCATCTTTATGGAAGAAACACAATTAAATGCAATATGTCAGGCATGCAAGTTTGGCTTTTTATCCAGTTGTTGAAGAGTTGCAAATAATTACTTTACCAGTAGTTTCTAATATAACATTTATTGTCAGTTCTTACGAGTGAGCACAAGCCACACATCATAATTCCGCCATAATTTCACATGTTTATTTACTCTGTAGTATTTTCTTAAATTCTTTATAAAGGCACAAGAACGAGGTTTAATTTTCCCGACACTGAAAGGGTAGCGTTGAACGCACCCGCCAAGTTCCTGTCTGCTTACTGCTGCCCTCTACTGGTGTGGATGCGCGTAACGCCACAACACCTAGTTTAGGAACATTGGTAATACACTTTATATATACAGTCTATGGTAATACATATACTTTACATGGTAATAATAACAAAACATTGGAGTTTATTTTTTAATATTTGAAGTTTGTTCATGAGTAACAGGTTAATTAGAATGTATCTCAATTGCTGGAAGTGCAGCATCAGTTAGTCTGTCCTGCAAGCCTCTTCTTCAGCTCCTCATTCTCTCTTTGCAGCACTTTATTCTAAAAAAACAAACAAAGATAAGAATGAGGAACAATTGGAAACTGGTCAAAATGCACCCCTGAACCTTAAAAACATTAAACATTTGTAGGAACTGGTTACTATTTTTGATAAGTAATTGAACTACATTATGCATTATGACAGACAAAAAGTGAAACACCAGCTTTGATATAAATATAAAATTCAACATAAAACGTACCTTATGTCTGAGGGCCTCCACTATCAGGTCTCTCCCTCCCCTGATGCTCTCCTCCTTTTTTGAGGCTCTGAATGCATCCCCAATGACTGAGACCAGCACGTGAGACTGAAGAATGTAAAGTAAATTAATGATCTGCTCAAATAACAACAACAAACCACCATGTCATAGGAGTGATGTTCTGGGGACACTCACAAACGCCTGGCTCTGGAACAGGTAGCAGTGGTTGGTGTCTGCTGCAGGGTGTCGAGCCACAAATCCAAACACTTTGGGCGAAGATGGTAGGACGGCACAGAAGGAAATAGTGGACAGAGGACACGAGTACAGCAGAAACTGAGGGTAGGGAAGACAGGAAGAATAAAGATGACAATTCAAGGCCAATAAAGCAAGTGAAAACATGTTATGCACATGGGTGGAATATGAAACATAGGGCCCTCGAGCACAGACATGCAACAAGATTCCACCTCCTCTCCTACATGAGACTTGTTGAGCCTTTTATTTTTATGTGATTATTGTGTCTTTTTAGTAAAGTATTATACATATTTGTATTCATTTTTAGTCTCTGTGCACTTAAGTCCCCTTCAGAACTTCATCTATACCGATGCACCCTTGTTCTGGTATAATAATTGAAATACTTTTGTCCCTCACCTTGGTTTTGTTTTCCAATATGTCAATCCCACTGAGCGAAAGGAAGAGATGGACCTTGCTCTTCCTCGCTGCCTTCTCTGAGGAGAATTGATCTGGAGTCTGGGGAAGAGAGGGGATGAGTACATGTCATGTTTAGTCAACACGTTTATATAGAGATAGTGGATACTAGAGGTGGGAGAAGTACTCAGATTTGATACTGGACTAAAAGTAGAAGTACCAGAGTGTATGAATACTCTGTTACTCTGTTAAATTAACTAAAGTTATGAAATCAATGTTGATTAAAAGTACACCATTTACCTCTGAATGGTAGTACAAAATAGCATCAAATGGAAATACTCAAGTAAAAAGTATCTCAGAATTGTACTTAAGTATAGCAAATATAACAAAGTCTATGTGATATTAACCAATAGTGTTTTGTGGTGTGGGCGGTATCTTTCTCCTTTTTCATCTGTTAATGACTACATACTTTGTCAGTCTTTGTAAGCTGTTTTGGTGTATATGTAATATAACTGCTCTGATAACACATGCAAAACCCAATACAAAAAGTTAAAAGAAAAAGAAAAAGGCTTAAAAAATAAGCGTTAAAAAAATGTAGAGCGGTAGTTTCTGACCTTTAGGCTCTGAGCAGCCTCAGACAGGATCTCTAGTCCATCAGAGCGGACCACCTCAACCCGGCCAAGAAACTACGGTTTCAAAAATAAAATAAAACGTAAACAAAGAAAAAATGGTTGAATATCAAATGAATGTCACATTATGAAAAGCTGCTGTACATACAGTACAGTATATATCACAAGTCGATGACAAACTAAGCCACATTCAGAATAAGTAAATACAAATATCAGCATTTACCTTTACTGGAAAGGAGATCTCATTATCTTCCTCCGTGTCACTCATTTTAACCCGTCTGGTGCCAAACTAAACCCTGCAGGCTGACGTTAAAATAGACATTTTAAGGTATAATGTGTTCTAATGATTGATACAATTCTGTAAATTAATCTTACCTGAGTGTAAATACAACGTATCCAGAGTAAACCGTCGTTCCTATTGCATTACAGACGGACGGGTGTAAAGTCTGTTGGAGTTAATGAGCAACTGTCAAGTGTTCCTTATTGCTCTTTATCAGATATCAGAGTGCCTGGAAATGTCATAAATACATCTGGTGACTGGCAAACATTTAAAATGACCAAAAATTAACGGCATGTTCAGAAGTTATTAAGACGTTGTTTGGACTTTTTGGATGTTATTTCCTGATGCTTTACGTTTCTTACACTTTTCATGCATGAAAGCCATGTTACAACACAATATACTGCATGTACCTTGTGTTACCTTGTGTTGCAGAGTGCAAAAATGAAACGGGCCCTATTATGCTTTTTGGGGTTTTCCCTTTCCTGTAGTGTTGTATTGGTTTAAGTGCATGTAAATGGTTTTCAAAGGCTAAAATCCTCTGGTTTATCTCCGACACACTCCCCCCTGCCTGAAACACCTCCATTGGACTCCTTTGTTTACTTCTGGAACATAATGACATCACAGTGTCACACTTGCGCTTCTATTGGCTAGATATTTTTTATATATATGAACCTGAAAATGAGCATGATAGGGCCCCTTTTAGTAGTTTGGGAATTGTTGCACTTAGCCTCTAGTGGTCAACATTAATATTACAACAACAAAATCTAACAAAACACTTTTCAAGTTTTACAGACAAAAATGAAAAATAAGAAACTTTGAAAGATGATCCTGGTTGGAACTTTTTGACCTGTTTTTTAGGGATAAACACAGAAGCGAAATGCACCTTTTACTTGCCTCTCAGGGCTTCTGTACATTTTGAATCCTACATCATAGTTATATTGTTTCACAGGATAACATTTTGATTTTCAACTGACACTGGGACAGTACCAAGACAAATACATGTACTGTAGACAACAACAAAAAGCCCACACAAAGATAACTTCCATATCAACTGTATTTATTGTTTGTGTACAGTAAGTGCCACTTTCTCAATCATATATATCCCTTTATATAGCGAGTTCATACGATGTAGATGTCTCAATCATAAGCCAGTGAAAAGCATTATGGTCAACAGTGACACAGCGGTGGTCTGAGATCAATGACGACGTGAAGGGAAGCCTAAAGCAGACAATTAAAATACCTGATCACTGATTGAGTTTGATTTCTGCATTATTAAAAGGAGGATAAAGTCATTTCAGAAGAACAGATGCAGTTTTACTGATCAATTATAAAAAAAGAAACCTACTGACGTGAAAAAGTAGCGGGTGATTCAGATTACAATAACTTTGTTTGAGGTTTAGAGTTGCTGCAGATGAGAGACATGTGAATTGGGGGGGGGGGGTCTGAGATGATCACATGATAGACACAGATGGGACAGAGCTACTTTGTTATGAGGACAACAGAACTTCACACAAGGCTCTGTTCCATCTGTTTCTATGTGTGTGTTTGTGAGGCAGTCTATGATTCGTTGACGGACATGGTCTCCAAGGCGCTGGGCAGGTTTTGGTCTCCTCCCGCTCCTCCCTGCTTCTTCTTCTTGCCGCCTCCTCCTCCTCCTCCTCCTCCTCCATCCTGCTGTTTCTTGGCTTTCTTAGTGGTCTCCTGATCGATGGGAGCCGGCTTCACGAACTTGATGATCTCCGTCATACCTGGATGGAAAAAAAGAAAGTACCAGTCTTTCCGTTAGCCGATATTGACCAATTTGGGCGGGAAAATCTGTTGTCTGATAAACTTAAACCTTTCCCGTCACAACGTTCAGTAAAAATAATTCCCCTTAAGAACTATTTTTTAATTGACATGTTGATGTCTACGAAATGTTTTAATATTGGAGGAAGCCAAGGTAGCTTTTGTGTGCTAAACTACACTATGCTCGTTAGCCTAGCTTGCTCCTCCTAATTATTCACCCTGCCTGGATTTCTTTAAAAACGGCTTCACAGTATTTATTTGTCATTTATTATATTTTACAATCATTTCGCATTCAGCTTACCAGGAGGCATGAAGGGCTGGAGCTTCTCTGGAATGACGATGCCTTCCTCCGTTTGGTAGTTCTCCAGGATGGCGCACATCACACGGGTGGTGGCGCACATGGTGGCGTTCAGCATGTGCACATACTCAGCCTGTACAGAGACAGAGAGGAAGAAGAAGAATATCAGCGGCCAACTAAATGAGTGTGTAGCAACAACGCAGCGTTCAGAAGGTGCCCTCACCTTGTCCATCATCTTCTTGGTCTGTCCGTAGCGGATGCGGAGGCGCCGGGCCTGGTAGTCGAGGCAGTTGGAGCAGGAGACCAGCTCTCTGAAGGCCCCGGAGCCCGGGAACCAGGCCTCCAGGTCCAGCTTCTTACTGGCTGCGTGGTTCAGGGCGCCTGTGATAACACACGGGAGCAGGAAGTTAGTTCATGCCTGAGCCATCACCGCTCTATCAGAAGCTGATTATTAAGCGTTTTCTTTCTGTACTGACTTTTAGAGCATCCGCCATGTTGTGACAGAGCCATCACTGTAGACTAGGGATGGGTATCATTAGGATTTTATCGATACCGATACTGCTTATCGATACCGGTATTTTTCGATACTTTTCAATAATTTGGTGCTCAAAATTATAGACGTGATTACAAGATGTGAAGATTAAACAGTCATTTTATTGTAATTTTTTTTATTTATTATTTAATGTAACTTTTTCAATGTCATACCAAGCAGGTATGAGTGTGTTTGACAGTGTGTCTCTGGAAGGGGGGCGGTTATTAGGGGCAGTTCATAAATCCATGTAAACATGACCATTATTCAGTTAAAACGAGACCCTGCGTGCGCACCTCCTAAACCGGAAGCTCCTGTCGGCTAACCATTACAATCCGTTTATTGCGTTTATTATTTATAATTGTAATGATGGATTATCAGTAATCATTTTAAAGTTACACAGAGACATTGGATTAACCGTTTGTATGCCCTTGAACCAGAGGTGGGAGTAAGTCCTACATGTGCAAGTCATGAGCAAGTCTCAAGTCTTGACCTACAAGTATCAAGCAAGTCCCAAGTCACTGTGGTGAGAGTCAAGCAAGTCAAGTCATTGCTCAGGTCAAGTCAAGTCAAGTCATACGAAATTCTGATGAATAAGCCCAGTTTCCGCATTTAAATCAGTTAAAAGACAGTGGTTATGAACATGGATTCAACCCACACTATGATCTTCATTACATACACAGTTAATCATTTGAAATCGAATTTAGACCGATGACAATCATATTAGATTCATATTAACCCTAGAACTGCAGACAATATAGCTAGGACTCAATCAAAAAGTCTGTTCAAAAAGGCAGAATTCCAGGTAAGAAAATCATATATGGCATTTGCCATTACACATATTTAATTTAAATTTCTGTTAACACTAGAACCGCCAACAGCGTCAGCACCTACATAGATATCATTTTCAAATCATTTAATTTGTTCCTCTTCATAATTAGGACGATTTAAAACTCAGTTAATTGGGTTAATTTAGAAATGGCTTCAGTTTATCATCATAACAGATCAAAAAGTTCAGATTCATTTTACAATAAATCAAGTAATGATGCACTTCTACAAACAAAAACAACATCATTAAAACATTTAAACAAACTACTAAAAGTAGATGAACTACATTATTCAACAGTTTACAGTAACTTCTGATAATAACACAGGGGAAATAAACGAGGCATCTCTTTTCCTCTCTCTTTCTCTCCCTCTCCTGACAGCCCGTCAGTATCAGGGTTAGTACAAATGAATCCCTTGGCGGTTCTAGTGTTCATTTACCGTTTTGTCTTCTCTTTGCAATGCTTAATCGATTTGAAACCAAGTCTAACGTAGCTTAAACTTAACGTTAGCTTCCTAGCTAACACAACACATTCACGCACCTTTCTCTGTGGGTTTTTTTGTAGTGACGAATGAAGTTGGATGTTGTGGTGGTCGTGTCACTGATCTTTATGCTGCAGACCCTGCATACCGCTGTTCTCTTCTTATTAGCGTCATCGACAACATAATCCTTGAATCCAAACTTCACTATTTGTGGAGTAACGCTAGCCGCTGCCATGTTAACTGACGCTCCTGCCGTCTAGTGGGTTGCCAGGTTTGCGCGCACGGCGCTATAATCACGTTTTTTCGAAAAAACTAAACGTAATATCTCACTACAAAAACAAACGCAAATATTTAATTTTAAACAGTCAAGTCCTTTCAAGTCATCTGTCTCAAGCTTAAGTCAAGTCTCAAGTCATGAATACCAAGTCAAAGTCAAGTCAAGTCTTTTATCAATGTTAGTCAAGCAAGTCTCAAGTCAAAAAATATGCGACTCGAGTCTAACTCGAGTAAAGTCATGTGACTCGAGTCAAGTCATGTGACTCGAGTCCCCACCTCTGCCTTGAACACAACTTTTGATCACAAAACAGCAAAGGTAAGACATAATTATCATCATGGCTACGTAAAGTGAAGTTGTTTTCTTGCTCTTTCCTGGCTGCTAGTTCAGTGAGTTTTGGTCGTACAGTGGAATCTGTGGAATCTTAGCTTTCATGTGACATGTCGTTTGTGCAGATAACATCACGTAGAAAAGATCGCTTTTGCCAGTTATGTGCTAAAGTAGCCGTTAGCCCGTTTCGCTAAGTGTTGATTTAGACTCTTGGTGTTGGACTTCTGTTCCGTGTAGGTAAAAATGGTTAATATCGTCTGTTAGCTGAGTTTCTTCCCGTTAAGTGGGTATGCATCATTAATAGGTTGTTAAATGTTAAGAAGCCTTGAGACGCTGTTTCTTGCAAGACGTTGCGTCTGCCCCCGGGAGTCTCACAATAATAAGAGCGATGTTAGGAGAGATGACGAGTGGCATTCATACCGATAGCAGCACCGTTTGTCCAGCGGCTTAACGGTATACCGATACCGTCCAATCGGCTACCAGTACTGACTTAGTACCGGTTCTCGATACCCATCCCTACTGTAGACATTTACTGCTGTCCCTCTCTCCCCTCCTGCTTTCACTCAGGGAGTGACAGGGGAATCAGGTGTGCTAATCAGGGGTGCATTGGATACAGGTGAGGAAAAGGGGGCGGGGCCCAAAGGGAACAAAGAGAGAGGGAATTGTTTGTTTAAAGAGGTTGAAAGGAGGAGGTTGAGGGGACGGTATGGGGCTTTAGGAACATTGACACCCAAAGAGCCCGAGGACCAGCAATGACTGACATCACAAGCCCAGAGAGAAAAGGAATATTATTTCCCTTTTCGGCGGTCGGCGAGTCCCTTCTTTTTGGAGTTTTTTCCTCAACTGGCAGTGTTCTCGTTTGAACTGGATTACTTTTTTGTGACTTTGGACTTATTATTTTAGCTTTCGTTTGGATTATTCAGCCTTAACAAGAAGACTGCATTTTAAATTGGACATTGCCTGAGAATTACTCCAGATATAATTTGTGTTTGTACTTGTGTTGGAGGTGGTGAATGGGATGGGGCTAATTAAACTGTCTTTTTGTGATGCCATACTGACTCCGTCTAGGTTTTAGTTTGGGGGGGGGAACTTAATTATTTAGAGGACACACTTCATTTTCAGCCACTCTCTTTTCCTGGTTAAATTACCACAGTAGCTCCCGACCTTTTTTCAATGGTAACTAGGCTTAAAATATAAGCTGATTGTTACAATGTTGTTACACATTAAGAAAGCTGTGTGTCAGACCTACCTGACACGATGTTGACGATGCGGTAAGGAATTCCTAGCGTCTGGTAGAACTCCTCCGCGGTCCCGATCATCTCATCAAACATCTCCCATGATTTGTTGTCATGTGGGGAGGAATACACAAACTGTTCGATCTACAAAGAAAACATGAGATTTATGACATTGTTTTTCACCAAATACCAAAACAAAACAGTAAATCACTGACTGACACACACCTCATTCTTCTGGAATAACCAATTGACATTAGTCTCATTTTCAAAATAAAAGCCCAAAAGAGTTACTGCGTACTAACAGGAGGCTCATGATGAGGCTTGTTTTTAAGAGAAAAGGCCCAAAGAGTAACTGTATCATTACAGGAATATTAGTTTTTCTTTAAAAAAAGCCCTATTCAGTAACTGTGACCTTACTGTAAGCTCCTGGCGATGCACGTTTTTCAAAACAAAAGCCCACATAGATGAACAGTATCCTTACAGGAAGCTCCGGACAAGGCCTATTTGTTTTCAAAGTAAAAGCCCAATAGAGTAACTATTATTTTGGGAAGCTTGGGTTTTCGGCTTGTTTTTCAAAATAAAAGCCCAAGAAAGTAACAACACTGCCACTGCTATATGATTCTCATTTCTCAGTAGGGACATTTCTAGATCATTATTTCCTGCATTATAGCTGACCTTCTCAAACTGGTGCACTCTGAAGATCCCGCGCGTGTCTCGGCCGTGGGAGCCCACTTCCTGTCTGAAGCAGGTGGAGAAGCCGGCGTAGCGGATGGGCAGGTCCTCGGGTTTCAGCCACTCGTCCCTCAGGAAGGCGGCGATGGGCTGCTCCGAGGTGGCGATCAGGTACTTCTCATCCACAGAGCTATCGTCTGACTTCTCGCTGCCCTTACCAACGACCTGGATACAAACACAGGCGGGGTTAGGATGCAGAAACAATGATATGAAACCATTTGAAAGGTTTTCACAGAGTGAATTTGAATGTTTATATTTGCAATTCGATGAATATAACGACCTGTGTATTTGTTCAAATTGAATATTCCATAAATGTAAGTTCATTTTACATTAGCAAATTAAAACATGAAGTAGGTATTATTACATTTAACTAATTTTGTAGTTAGTTATTGTAGTGAGTGATCAAGTTCAGTCAGAATGTTCATTCATAAAAGTCATACTGTGTAACACAATGTAAAATGACAAAAAAAGAGTGTACTACTGCTCTCTAAGAATGTGCAGTTCTTTGTTTAGGCCTCCAGGGGGCACTGCCACCACTAGAACTCATACAAAAGTATGAAGACACCTGAACATCTCATCCCAAAACAATGGTTTTATTAGCACTGATTTAAAAAATACTTAAATCTCAATGTATTTTTCGCAATGTTGCAGGTTAGTGAAGGACAGCAAGGGGTATGACAACACCTTTTTAAGTGAAATACAATTGAACAGAAAAGGTTTAGGAAGTCTTTAAAAACCTCTGTACCTTGTAAAGCTCATCATCAAACTGGCTGAGCTGCGCCACTTCCTGCATGACCTCTTTCCTCATGAAGAAGGGCGTGTAGAGCGGGGTGTAGTTCTTGCTGTAGAGGAGCCTCAAGCCGTAGTTGATGAGAGCCTGCTCCAGGAATACCAGTGGGCCCTGAGGGGAGATGACGGAGAAGAGACAAGAGGGAAAGCATGAACAGCTGCTCTCTCTGGTGATTCCATGTTCATCTGCTGCATGGGTTACATCTGCCCTCACCTTCAGGAAGTAACCTCTGCTCCCAGCCACCACAGCCCCCCTCTCTCCGTCGAAGCCATCGATCATGACCACCAGGTCCACGTGGGAGTACTTCTTCTGCACGCTGGAGTCGCCCCAGGTACGCTCCACCTTGTTGTCTGCATCCTGTCAGCAGGGGACAAGAGGCAACTTTAAGGGGCGGGTTCACAACCAAAGGTCCCCCTCCTCATTCTAAACCAGTGTCAACAACACACTACAGGGGAGGGAAACCCCAAAAAGTATTAAAAGCCTTCTATAAGTTATTAAAATTGTACCTTTTAGCAGCTGTCTAGCTAGCTAGTTTAGTTGCTAATTTCTTGTTCATGCTACACCAGTTTTCACCAATTACACATTGATGGTATGCTTCCTGTGAATGGTTTGGTTTGGTGTTTCTACCAGAAATGAACCACTCCATTCTCCTGACAGTGCTTAGAAATCACTTGTCAATCGATGTGACAAAACCCAGATGATGTGTTCTGCTCTATCTTTTACCGGCCTGTGTGGAGCCCCTCACCTCATCGTTGCTGATGGGCACAGTCGGGTGCAGGAGGTTTCCGATCTCCCTCAGGTAATCGAAGCGCTCCGCCTCCAGCTTTATTCTCTGGACATCAGCTTTCTCTACAGCCTCGTCCACTAACAAACGCACCTTCTTGATCTGGGTTACCGTCAGGGGCTGACATAGAGAAATGGAAATGTGCAAACAAGTTAACGAAAGCAAAAAAAGACATTTGTGTGTTCTGTCTTTTAAGAACTGAGTGTAGCAAAGTGCAAACACTCAGAGGGAATAAAGGATTAGAGAAGGCATTCATACCGATAGTGTTTCAGCTGTTAGGGACTCAACGTTTTGGGCTTCTTCTGGTAGAGAGTCATCATCACCAACTGGTTCCTTTTTCTGCATTAACAACATAAACAACAATAGGTCAGATATACAGTTAAATACACCCTCTTAAGTCTTGTTATTTCCAAACTTGCCAATCCTCACAATTTGGGGAAACTCTTTTTTTATTTTCGTCTTCTTTCCTCGTTGGGTAACAATTCCCCCTTATTTCTCCCAATATACATCACAAAACTCCATAAATGTGTTTTCCTTTACTTTATGTGTTTTCCCCCAGGACACTAGCCTTGTCCTCTTCAGTGAGTGAGAGCCGGAGAGTGACATTTTGAATATTTAGAAAATGAAATACTCAAGCTAATATCAAACGCCCTGGAAAGAAAGATTCCTGGGTCTTACGGGAACGTTTTAAACGAAACAGGTATGCATTTTATTTTGTATCCCCTTTTTTATAAGTTACAAGAGGACCCCCTACTTTGATACAAAACCTCCTCATTTTTGAAGTCACAAGGTTGGCAAGTATTGGGATTTCTCCTGTCTGACTTAATCTCAAAAGTGGTCTGTTGGTGCTTCTGTACCTTCATTCTCTCCCCAATGCTCTTGCTGCAGAGGTTCTTGGCTTTGTTCAGGTGGTCTGCAGTGAAGCGGCCTGTTGAAGGGGAAATCACAGTCATTCAGAGTGTGTGTGTGTGTGTGTGTGTGTTGCAGTTAGGCCTGTCGCGATAAGCAATTAATTGACTTATCGTACGATAAATAAAAATGAACTCGATAACTTTTCTGACCTCGATAAATTGCCGTTTACATGCGTGTTTGTTTACATAAGGATGTGACCAGCATTTTAGCCAGGCGCGCTGTGGCTGCCCGGCGCTGGGAGGGGCGGGGCTCGATCACACCCAGCCAGGTCAGGACACTCCGCGTGCAACAGCGTAGCAGCCTTTATATAAACAGTCTATGGTAGCAGCCAAATGAATAATAAAGAGACAAGCAGGAGACAACGTGTGACTTACTCGAGGGGAATTGGTTGCGAAACCTAATTCCACATTTCCGGCGTGGGAATATTTTGGATTTAAGCCAAATCAACGAGGTGAACCTACGGACTTGAATGAGCCGTTATGTTGCATTTGTTTTTAAAAGGTAGCAACAAAAGCTAGCAATACGACCAACCTTTTAGAAGCACAACCACCCCATTCCGTTTTCCCAGCTGGGAGCAAACACGGCAGCTGGACATGGAGAGCCCCCACCTTCCCGACAGTTTACAATCAAAGATGCATTTGCCCGACAATGCAAACATGTTGGTGTTCCTTGCTCGAAAACTTTGAAATACAGATTTGGATATGGCCTGTTGAGGCATCTGGGTCTTTGTATGGACAGTGGACTGTACACTTGACTGTTGTTTTAAGGAGGGTTTTTTTGCTTGTGAGACAATGTGCTTATGAGACAATGTGCTTATATATATATACACAATGTGCATATATATATACATATATATACATATATATATATATCATTTAATTATGTTTTGGTTGTGAGTGATTTAATAATTTTTTAATAATTTAATTCATTTGTTTTATTTATTATATATATTTCAATATTATTTCACATTTCATTTGCAATGTTGAATGTTCAATAAAAAGTTATGTTTGAAAGGATGTACTAGAATTATTATTATATATTATCATTATGTCAGTGGTCTAAAATGGTCTTACAACGTTTATCGCAATAATTTCCAGGAAAATGTATCGTCCAACAAAATTAATTATCATGACAGGCCTAGTTGCAGTAGTGACAGGACCAGTAACCTGGTGACAGCTGCAACGCTGCATCACGCAATCATGAACCATGATACAACTGTATGCAAACGTTTAAACAAAATACACGTGGCAAAATGTAATGATGATACAATGGGATGGGAGGCTGTGGTTCAGTGGATAGTGTGCTGGACTTGGAATCAGGGGATAGCAAGTTCCAGTCCCACTGCAGTCAGCATGTCGTTGTGTCCCTGGGCAAGACACTTCACCCCAAATTACTCCTGTGGGGATTGTCCACAGTACTGAATGTATGTTAGTCGCTTTGGATAAAAGCGTCTAACAAATGACATGTAATGTAATACAGTCGCTGAGTCAGAATGCCTGTCTGTAGCTACCCTGGTTGACTTGTCATGTTGCAGGCTGGGATTGCATCAGATTTCACTTTACCGGCAGCGCTAAGCTAACACAACATTAGCAAACCCTTTTGTATCATATCTTCCAATAAAAATATGGAACTACATGAACTACAGCTTGGTGTTCATTTATTTTAAAGCCTTTTATTGAGTTCACGTATTGGAAAATAACCACATGGCTCATTTGGATTCGTTAAATGGTGTTAGCCATGCTAACATTAGCCCCATTGAGTGCTGTTCTCTTCATCCATTCAAATACGGCTATACATTTTTTTTATCAAATATCAGGTCTTGTACAAAGTAAATTATTTTACACACTGTTAAAATGATGCCCACTTGTGTATACGGCATACATGTAATGCACCTAGAAAGGCTTTTACTATTTAAATAGTGATGGTGAAATGATTCGCAGTCCACTGCAGTGTAACTCAGTGAGCGAAAGTCACCTTATTGCGGGGAAGTCTGAAGTGAATTAATACAAAGAAAACGTCTTTAATCAATATTTGACAAACACTTTAAGGTGCCGAATAAAATACTTCATTCCTAATTACGCGTGAAGTATTCAAATATCCCATATGGAATGTAAACGATAGCTATATTCACCTACTAACAATAAAAAGACAGATTTTTGAATAGAGTTTGGCGTGAGCTAGCTTCAGTAGAAAGGACTCTACGCTAGCATGAGCCACCATGCTAACGTTAGCTATTATGACTGAAACAACAGAAATAACAGGGGTCTTACATTTTCTCCACTCCGTATCTGCAGCGACCAGTTTATCAACGAGTGTAACATCTTTGAACCTCTTCCTTTGGATCTCACGGATGGCTTCTGGGTCGCCACCTTTGTCGGTGCGAAACTGGTCCAAGTCGAGCACCATCTTTCCACGCTGCCTGTCAGAGAGAGCTGACTGAGCTCACAGCGAAGAGTGCTCCAACCGGGTTGCCAGGTCCTTCTGCTTACGTCGCAAAACGGGACCGACCGACAATTTCAGTAGTGAGGAAAGATTAATTATTAACGAACCAACCATACGCTCAAAATAAATGTAGTGCAATGTAGACTGAGGGTTGATCACTTTTTTTTTAACGTTATTTTAGACACAGAAAGTACGTTTGTTTTTCACCAGCCTGGCAACCTATAGCATCAGCAATAGCTACCTGTAAAAAACACTCAACAGATTCATAACAGTACAGTTTGGTCACACCTTCAAATTCGAAGTTTTTTATTTATTTTAATTGTTTCTATTTTGTAGATGAATACTGAAGACATCAACACTATGAAAGAACACATAGGAATGATCTAGTTAACAAAAAAGTGTAAAAAAATCCAGAATATGATTTTTATTTGAGATTCTTCAGAGTAGCCCCCTTTTGCCTTGGTGACAGCTTTGCACACTCTTGGGGGGGTCTTTGCTGGTGACACTGACTTTTGGAGATTTATTCAGAATTCAAGGCATACTTAACCAGCATGGCTACCACAGCATTCTGCAGTAGCCAACAAAATATAAATCATATTCTGGATTCTTTAAAGGTGGGGTAGGTAATTTTGGAGAAACCAGCTCGAGTGTGCTAGAATTTGAAAATACACAGCCGGAAAAAATCTCCCACTTCCTTACAGAGCCCCTCCTCTAACACACACGAACGCGCACATGACCAATGAGGGCACGAGATAAGTTTGTGCACAGATGGAAGGCTGACAGGCAGGTAGGCCATCCAGTTATTTTAGCCGGGCCAGCTAAAATGATTGGTCGTGCTTTTTACAGTACTACGGCTTCCACAGATGACATTTTTTTATGGATTTTTTGTCAAAGCACTTAAAGGGGACCTATCATGCAAAATGCACTTTTGTACGTCTTTTATACATCAATATGTGTCCCCGGTGTTCCAGGGAACTCACCAAGTGTCAGAAAACACAACCCTCTCTATTTTCCTCCATACCCAAATCTCTAAAAAAAAGGGGCTGCAACGGATCTGATAAAAACTGATCCAGATTTGAACACTGTCCTGACGTCAGGACGGTGGCGCTATAGCATCAGCAATAGCTACCTAGGGGGGGGGGCTTTGCTGGTGACACTGTTGGAGATTTATTCAGAATTTAAGGCATACTTAACCAGCATGGCTACCACAGCATTCTGCAGTAGCCAGCAAAATATAAATCATATTCTGGATTCTTTAACACTTTTTTGTTTACTAGATAATTCCATATTTGTTCTTTTATAGTTTTGATGTCTTCAGTATAAATATACAATGTAGAACAAATTTAAATAAATAAAAAACGTAGAATTTGAAGGTGTGTCCAAACTTTTGACTGGCACTGTATACATTTCATTGATACAGAGGTGATAGCCAGAAATCACTTATTTTAAAACGTATTTTATTAAATGATTAGATGTATAATATAAAATCAATATTTCACAAAAAAGAGCAAGTCCATTCACATTTATCAGCGTGTGACCACACATTCGCCTAATTTTAAAATGATTTGACCTATTCATCCATTCCCATGTATATGATATGCACATGCATTAATACATGTGTAATACTGCAAAACATGCATGTATACAATGTGTACTTCAAGGAAAACATTAACACAGAATAACTTCAAATCCTCAAATTTGAGATTACTAGTTCATGTACAAAGTTAATATTAAAAACACACTTTGTTTTTTATTTAACATGACATTACAAGAAACAAAAATGTCTGCCAAATACATTCGTGGGGCTAAGATAGCTTTATTGACCATTATGCATATTACTGTTTTTTTTTTTTAATCCTTCCGGGCACACTATATGTAGCATATGTTGGTCCATTGCCTAAGTGCACATTAGCTGGGAATGTGGATGTATTCACATACATATGTCACCTTCACAACGGCCCACTTCCAAAGGGACCCCTTCACCTTTCCACTCTGTGACGGTGACGGCTAGAACTCCCTATAGTCTCACTTATTGAATGAGCTGTAGGGTGTAAATACAGTGGCAGGCTTCACAACAAAACTGTTGTTTCTAGGACATAAAATACCTCATTAAATATCCAATTGGCGTTTTTAAAGCTTCTTTGTGTCATTAAAAATAGCAGTTGATAACAAGTGACCATATTAGACTACTAAACATCATAAAGCTAAACATTAGCTTCCTTTAGCTTAGCGGTGTTGACGTGGGGTCATGTCACCATGTGAAGTTTGTATATAGCTTTACGTTAGCTTTTTACTTCTGGTAATTGCAATAACGCTTTTGAAATCACAAGAGTGGTGTTAATATGTGGATATTATACCACTGAACAAAATGTCTAAGTATCATGTGTTGGCCACAGATCTTATTTTCTGCGATATTCTTCAATCCAATGGAAAAATCCCATTGCTTTTTCGGAGGGAGCCCTTGCTAACTTTCTGGTTGGACTACAACAATACGTCAACAATGCACTGCTCTATAACTTCCACTCCACACTAGTGGATTTGCAATGGCACTTTATTTGACAGACCCTCCACACGGAAACGGATTGGAAGCTGGTAGGGGCCACATTGGAATTGAAACATCTCCTCCTATTTGCCTGGAAGTTCCTAGCCATGGAGTCCTTTTTCTCTTCTTATACCCCTTTCACACCAAGGCTTTTCCCCTTCTAGCTCCGTGCTAGAGCTTTTCTGGTTCAGAACCGGTTCTTCGGTTTAGCGCCGGCTCTTTTCACACCGCTCAGAGCCCGACTGGTGCTGCCGCTGCTGCGTCATGACGTCACAGTTTACGTCGCTGAGTTTCTCCCCAACGGAGCTCACCTCACAACAACAACGGGTCGATGATCGTGTTGCTTTTAATCATACGAAGCCAGATTAAATTAAATAACAACTTCTCCAACCTTATACTTTTCTCCAGAGTGCCGTGGTTCATTGTTTATTAATGTGTGTCAGCGGCATTTACCGACCGCTGCAGTGCTGGCTGCTCTTCAACGGGAGTGTATTCTCCCGTTAGCTCCGGGTTAGCTCACACGGCTCTAAAGTATTCACTGTCTGACTGTCACACAAGCAGCTGATACATATCCCCAGTTCCCCTTAAGTGAATGTGTGTCAGTCTGAATTGACGCTGTTTGGTGTCAGTCGGAATTGACGCTGTTTGGCATCACAACGCTGTTATGAAAGTTTCTCTGGTATAACATGGGTGATGTTAGCATAGCAACCGAAGCTAAACTGACTACTTGCTAAGCCGTTTTCTACAGGCACTTTTTACCGGCGTATTTTTCATTATGATTCTACTTGTGATAGTCGGACATGACAACCTGTGCAGCCCATGTATTGATTCCATCCGATAGCTGCTATAATAACAAACAAAACGTCTGCCTGCTCTCCACAATAATCAATAACAGCGAACGGATGGTCAAAGTAAGGTACAAATAAACAGAATCACACGAAGCCTGGTTAGTGTTGCCTGACTTTATAAAGCGTGTTTTTTTTTAACAAGTGTGTGGTTGCGTTCTAGTCACTTTGCTCAGCACTACTGCTGGTTACAACTTTTATTTGCCGTACTCGCCTTAACTGTTATCTCAGGTTAATCTCGCCCCCCTCCCGACGTAAGCGTGACGTATGCGGTTCTTGCTTCTAGACGGACAACTTTTTGGTGCTCGAAACGAACCGGATTCCGGAGCTTAGAGGCTGCTCCGCTGCGGTGTGAACAGGAAAACCCGGTGCTTTTCAAGCTCCAGCTCCGAACCGGCCCTGAAACACCGTTGGTGTGAATGGGGTATTAGTCCCCTTCACTTCCCACAGAGTGATGCCTTTTTGCCGTTATCTCCGTCCGAGCCTCATAAATAGCCCACTGCAGAGCAGCTCCGGATGGTAACTTAGTAAACCCGTCCTCTGATATATGATTTATCTTCAGGTAATGCCCCGGCCCGTGCAGAGCCACTCCATGGAGGTGGGAGAAAAGCAGCTGTAAATCGCGTGTCAATATGTAGTGAGAAACTAGCCTCAGTTCGGTGGGGATGTCAGTTTCATCGGAATAATCAAAAATGGCCGCCATGTATTTGGACAAGTCCTGGCCCCTGGCTTTGGCGTGGCCCACCTCCTCTCCAATAAGTTTAACTGCAGCTTCAGAGCAGAAGGCGTTAGAGCCATAGTGGAGTCCTTCGTGTGCCCCTTCATCTTCATCGCCCTCTGAAGGCTTACTCCTGCGGTTCAGGCCCATGGAACATATCACCAAGATGAAGTCACTCTCCCGGATCTGCCGGCAGTGCCAGGCCATGCCGCCCTCCTCAGCAACGCTCAGAGAGTCCCACAGGTCCAGGCACACCTGAGGAGAAATACCATAATAATATATTGTCAGATTAAGTCTGAATTTGTTGTTCCATCACAGCAACTAATCGCAACATCAACAAAGATTTTTTTTTTACAATCACTCGAAACAATCGAGTGGTAGAGGAATGAGTCACAAAAAGGAAGCCGTAGTACTGTAAAAAGCACGACCAATCTCGTGCCCTCATTGGTCATGTGCACGTTCGTGTGTGTTGGAGGAGGGGCTCTGTAAGGAAGTGGCAGATTTTTTCCGGTTGTGTATTTTCAAATTCTAGCGATCTCGAGCTGGTTTCTCCAACTTACCTACCCCACCTTTAACCACACAAATTAAACTAAATAATGGACAATATTATCATAGGCTTTGTTAGATGTTAAAAAAGAATGTCCAGAAATGTCTACTTTTTATTATTACCATGACTTGTGCATCTCTTTAAAACAGTTGCTTTGCTTTTATATTTCCGTGTTAAAAACTGCCATAAAAATATGATATACTAATATTATTTTCCACTTTCACTGAGATTAGTTTTTAAACCAAGGTAGTCCAGATCATAACTATAAAAAGTTCACACATTTTGAAAATTGTTAACCCTATAAATGCCAGTTTGTTAACATAATGCAATTGTTGATTTTGGAGAAAGAATAATTTAAAATGAATTATTTTCTGTAAACTAACATCCAGGGATATTTTTTTATTTTCACATATGGTTATGTTTAGCAAAATGTGAGTGGATCAGTTGCATCAAACATTGCAGTACTTCATAATACACCAGCAATTACTGTAGTGGAAACCAAGAAAATTGCAGTTATTAGTACTATAGGACAATATTAGAAAATGTCAATCTGGTAGAAAATAGTAAAAACTGACATTATACAGCTGAGGATGGAAAAATGTATGCTGTATGCATTTTCACCACCAAAATGATAAAAAAAAAACTAATTGCATAGTGCCAAAAATGTTTCTACTATTTTGAGCCATTTTCTAATGTTTTCCTTTGGTGCAAATGCAGTTATTGTAAGTCCCTTTGGAAGAGGGTTTAGGTTAAAATGTGTGTGTCTAACCCTAACCCTGGAAAAAAAGCATCTTCTAAATGTACTGTAAAGCCGTGTAGTGTCGTGTCCTCTATACCTGAGTGGCCATGTGCTGCTGTATGAAGGCCCCTAACTGCATGACGGCTTTAACATGGGCGGGGCCGTCACAGCTGCTGTAGCAAATCAGAAGACGAGGAGGGGTCGGCCTGTTTCTGGGCAGAGGCATCACTCCCTCTTGAGTGCCGCTCTCTTCTTGCTGCCTTATAATATCTGAACGGATGACAAAAATAAATCTGGCATGACTAAAAAAAAACACATTTTATTTGACCTTAAATTAGCATCCAGCAATGCAAACAAAATCTTGGTTTGTCTTTGCACCTGGTTTAATGTACACTTTCTTCATCTGCAGCCTGGTCTTCCAGGTGAGAGCAGCCACTAGGACTACAAATATGGCTGCCACAGACAGGCCCAGTGGAAGCATCAGAGCCAATGAGGGACTCACAGAGTGAGGTGTTGAAACTGCTGAGGATGGGAGAGTTATAGAAACATGATAATTCAGTCAAACTGACAAATCAATGCAGAGATTTATTTTTGCTTGAATTGAAATTGAACAGCCCACAGGAAAGCATAACAGATACGAACACAGCAGCAACAAAACGGCCTCCCCTACCTTTGTGCAAGTGCAACACCTGAACATTGAAGGTTTTCCTTACTGCGTCCATTTCGTCAGCTGCAATCTGTGACACAAGAAATGTTGAGCGAGTTTTATTATTGACCTTGGAAATAGCAGTTTGATAAAGAATATTAAAGAGGCCCTGTTATGCTTCTTGGGGGTTTCCCTTTTTTTTGCATGTAAATGGTCTGCAGAGGATAGAATCGGAGGGAGTTCCTCACGCACACATAACATATGGTGATAAATTCCATAAAAAAGTTTTTTTAAAAGCCAGAAGTGGAACTAAAGTTACAATTATTTTGTCAAACTACAAGAAATGTTCTTTTAAGACAACGAAAATGAAAGAATATTTAAATTAGCATAGCCCAAATCAAATAATTGTTTAAAGTCTGGTATTTTAAAATCACACAAAACAATAGCCCATTTAAATATTTACCAATAATTGAAGTACATTTGTCTATGTTTGTTTGTATTTTTGCAGATCTGTTTTATATTTGCAATATAAATACATCTTTATTAACTTACAAAACGTTTTTTAATTGTAAGGTATTGTTAAATTACGACAAATCTCCATCCATATTTGTAATAATAATTGTATTTTACCTGACAAGTGTAATTGGTTCCTTCTTGAAGGTCATTCATCTGAAAGCTGTGGTGAGTCTTGTTTTTCTTGAAATTCTAAGGGAATGATTAAGGTCAAACGGTTATCAAACAATTCTACAAATCAATCCACAGAAGCAAGGTATTAATGCATTCAATAAAAAATGAATCTAAAGCTGTGGACTGACAGGAGAGATGTCTGTGTATTTCTTCATGCTGTTAGCGTAACACAGGGAGAAGTAGCTCCTGATGCCCAGCTGTGGAGGAGCCAGGTTAAAGGTCACGGTGATGGCTGTCCCTTCCTGTTGCACCTCGATGTGTTTGGGGTACCAATCTATAACCACAACATGTAATATTGACACATGTAAAAATAATCATATTGAGAAATATTTACAAGATGCCTCCAAACTACAGTTATTGAACAATGTGAAAAGTTTTCACTCACCTTTTTTGCACTTCTCAAGACCGTTCTTTTCTGCACATGCTGCAAAACCATGACATGCACATTATTATTCACATAACACATTGATATACAAAGAGATGGAATTTAATTGAAAACCAGCAGCTAAACACAGAGAGTGAAACCAACAAGAAAGTCATAAAAACATAAATAAAATCATATGGAAAGGGCATTAGCACGTTAAATGTGTTGGAACGCTAGCCAATAGAAGCGCAAGTGTTACATAGTGATGTCACTATGTTGCAGGAGTAAACAAAGGAGTCCAATCGAGGCGTTTCAGGCTTTTACGGTTTTCCCTTTTCCTGTAGTGTGGTAAATAGTTTTTACTGCATGTAAATGGTCTGCAAAGGCTAAAATCCCTGTGTTCCCTCCAGAGGGAGTTTCTCTCCCACACACGCCCCCCCCCCCCCCCACCTGCCTGAAACACCTCCACTGGATTATTTTGTTTACTTCTGCAACATGAAGACGTCACTAGGTAACACTCGTGCTTCTATTGGCTAGCACTACGTGATGTCTATAAGTGGTTGAGTGATTAGAACAGAGCTGGCTATCTAACCAATCAGAACAGACTGGACTCTGGTTTCAGACAGAGGGTGAAATAAGTAGTTCCAGCTCAGGCAGTATGAAAAAAATAAAGACCTTTTTGAACATTAAAGCATGGAAACATGTCACAGTAGAGGCACAAAATACAATTACGAACATGAACATTTGCATATTATGTCATCTTTAAGATGATTACTAGATTTTAAGTTGGTAACGCCACAACTAAAGACGTCGCTTATGGCCACTACCAAATAGGAGGCAGCAGTAAATTACAGTTTAAGACAGTCAACTTCACAAAAACCGTGGGAGGTCCTGAAACATACTGTCATAAATAACTATTGTAAATTGTAGGCTGAAGTGTGCAGTAGTATGTGAGATTAGCTGCGGACAGACAGGCACACGCCCAAACACAATACAACAAGGAAGGGTTTGGAAGGTTGTCCTTAGGCAGCGAACGCTCTTTAAACTGCAGGGAAACTTTCCGTGTGCTTGAGTGTGCCTTCTGAGATCAAATCTGGCTTAAAGGGGTCTTACAGCGTGAGGAGAAGTTCCTGCTGCGGTAGAACCTCTCCCACTCCTCAGGCACCGGCAGGGCCATGACAGTAACAGCATACTGGGACCCCAGGGGGAGGCCGGGGAAAGGGTCCGACTTGTACACCTGCAGAGTGAAGCAAAGGTCATGATGTTGGTTTCATCCAACACGCTACACAAACTTCTCTGATAAGTGGAGTTTTGGCATGTTAATGGTTGAGGAGAATGTGATCTTAAACTTTTCAACTTTATTGTATTGTTTTTATTTGCAGTCTTTTTTTATTGAATTTCCACTCTGTTCTACAATTTATTTTGCAGGATAAACCTTTTTAAAAAGTAATTATCTGGAATACTTTCATTAAAATACATCCGTAAAGTGCCTATCTTTGTATGATGGTGGGGGAAAGGTGATTGAGCATTTGGTTTAATGATGGAAGCTTTTGCATTTGGACTTCTTTGAAAGAAAGACAGATTTGTATTAATCTCGAGGGGAAATTCAGGGTTTCACATTTGTTGACATACACACGACCACATGCACAGGGGGTTTAATCCCTTGCGTAACCATCGACCCTACGGTTCTGAGCCATGTCCCGACAGACACATTCTAATTTCTACTAAGTTTGAGGGAATTTATTGCATGATTTTTGTTTATTGCTACTGTGCTAATTTTCATAAAATTGGTGGAAGGATGTAGCATGGGAACTACATTTAGGAGCAGATTTCAAATCACATGGCAGATACACAATCATCTTTTGGCAATTTTGTCAACATTTGACATGCAGGGGAGAAATCTCCCAGTTCCTATAGTTTTTATGAAAAGAATACTAGTAGTACAGTAAAGTTGTGCAAAAACAGTGCACAGCTTCTTAGCTAAGTTAGCTATAAGTTCATTTACATCTGTATTCCAAGCCCCCAGGAAGTGCGCCGGCCGTTAAGGCAGATTTTTGGAATGGCCTTAGTGGCCAAACGGTGGTAATAAAACTTCTGTGTTCGTCAGTGATGTCTTTTTGGCCCAAAATTACTTACATTGGGAAAGAGACGTCTGTAAATCAACATATCAAAAAAATTATATATTATCTACCCAGTACGAAAACTGGGTTAATTTCCCTCTCCATTCATCTAACTGGGCAGAGAGGAAAACTCAAGTGCGCATGCTCTTTCAAGAAAAGACCGTTTATGATCTGGGTATTCTGGACCTACAGTTGCTTCATTTTGGACTCATGTGCCACTGAGCAACTTTCATATAGGGATGAATGGGGCCCGCCTCCAGCGCTGTAACGCCGCCTACACACGGCGGCGTGCGTTGCCGCTTCAACGCTTCTGCCCATTCACTTTGAATGGGGTGACGTCACGCTTCGCCGAACTGCATAGAGTGGCGAAGTCACGCCCACTTACTTCCGGGGTATGGGACCTTATTTCGGAAAAATTATGCATTGAAGTCAATGGGGAGAGAAAACTTATCTTTCGATCCCGTTTGAATTGTGCCATGAATTACACATATGATGTTTGTCAATCTTAAAAAATAATTTCCATGTCAAAAAAGTCACAGTTTGTCGTAAAACTGTTGAAATATAAGACTATGAAAAATACGTAACTAGAAAGACTACAAATCCCAGAGTCGCGTAAGTGATGTCACAATTGTTTTCCTCCACTAAGAGATAGCTAAGATCAGCGCCATATAGATATCATCTATCTATATGGCGCTGGCTAAGATAAGATAACTTTAACAAGATGCCTGTGTGCTTAGTACCAGGTTGTTATTATACCAGCAATGGGTCTTGCTCGTTCTTTTGCTTCCCGTCTGATGAAAGGACCAGGAGTGGCTTGATCAAGTTAGCTACCTAGCTAGTAGCTAGCACGTTAGTTAGCATTACAGCCTTGTCATTTTTATTAGCCTTAACATGAAGTAACATTAAGTAACCCAAAATGTTAAACAGTAAGAGTAGTAGTCATATTTCGTGAACCCTTTGAAGAGTACTGTCACCGGTGTGATCATTCTATAATACACCATTTAATTCCGGGGGAGAAATGCTAACGCTAACGTTAGCATCGGCGATCTTCTCTACTTCATGCTATCTGCACAAATGGTTGACATTAAACATTAAAACGACAAGGCAGTTCAGAGAGAATCAAAGGAAGGCAGGCAGGCAGCTTTGCATGACATTCTTCTGGACGTGTTTCATTGTGGTGATAGTGAGGATAGTCAATCGTTTTGTTGACAAGACAGTAGTGACGGCCATCTTGGTGACGTGTGTGGTTGACCAGAGATGTAGTTCATTGAGCGTTTCACACAAACAAATGTGTTACTTCACAGTTTTACGACACATTTTTTTTTTTTTGACTTGCAAAATTATCTTTTAAATTGACAAACATCATATGTGTAATTCGTGGCACAATTCAAACGGGATCGAAAGATAATCTTTCTCTCTCCATTGACTTCAATACATCATTTTTCCGAAATAAGGTCCCATGGGGCTCAACCGGAAGGGGAGGGACTTCGCCACTCTATTGAGGCGTCAGCCAATCAAATCCCGCTTATGCAAATCTGCCAGTACAAGCGCTAGCCAATCAAACCGCGTGTATGCTGGGAGAGCCATACCGCAGTTCATTTCCTCATATGCAAAAAATGGAGGAGAAAATCATCATAGCGGTAGGGAATCACCCGGTGCTATATGATCAGTCTCTGTTCACCTACCAGGATACAAACCGGAGGAGCCAGGCATGGAGGGAGGTGGCAGAGACAGTGGGTGAAACTGGTAGGTTTTCGCCTGTTTGGGGAGTTTATATCCAGTTTAATTCGTTTGAATGGACAGCTAGCAGGCATAGACAGTATTTAGCCAGCATGCAATGTTGCGTAAAATAGCACCATAGACATTAATGTCATAAATGTTCATCATATAAAGTGTGACATTCATGTGATTGGTTGTTGGTCGCGTTGCTCGCGTAAACTCCCCAAGCTCAAGACACGCCCACCGCCAAGCGTCGGTTGTTTCAGTGCCGTTACCTGAGTGGCCGCTGTGTACTCGTTGTGTTGTTGTTGGTGTTTGTTTCTCAGGTGGCGTATTAGATTGGTCGTGTTCAACGTAGCTCTGTTCTTTCCACCACGCGGAACCTCCGCCTTGCAAACATTGCATCTGGCTGTTACACTGCCTTCGCTTTCAATGTTATAATACTTCCAAACTCCTGACATTTTCTCTGTCCCGACTCCCGAGTCACCAGCTGAACGTAGCCTCTTGTTAGCTTACTGCTACTATTAGACACTGCGCCCTGCCCACTCTGTTGCCAGATTTGAGAGAAATAAGCAACCTGAGGCCTGTACTACGAAGCTGGATTTTCGCTTAGCCGGCTAACTTCAGGGAAATCTCGGGCTTTCCGGTCCTACGACGCTGGTTCTCTTTTTAGCAGGCTAGATTTCCATGGTAACTTATGCTGAGCGGCAAACCTGCTCCGGAGCAGGTTAGGTTGCAGGCTAAGAGATCAACTCAGTGAAAGCACCGCCTGCTGACCAATCAGAGCTCCGTGTGCGGAGTTTAAAGCGATCAATTCATATTACAGGATAGAGGAAATACAGAAAAACTGCCGTTGCAGGAAAGACGGCCGGTCAAAATCAACTGACTGTGTGAACGTGAAAATTAATAGAATATCCCCTCCTATCTTCAGAGCAATCTGACTATTATAACATTAGCGTTAAGAAAGCTTACTTAAATATCTGCCACGACATAAGTAACCGGATCAGAGTAACATTAAGTACAGTCCGCGGCAATGTGAGTGCAGACGTCGATGTGTCCCATTATCATTCATATCATATCACATCATAATGTATCATATATTTCCTTATTTGAGTCAGCTTCTTGAGCCGTATCTGGCCGTGCAACACTCACAGTGTCACATACTGTATGCAGAAGTATTATTTTAAGCAACACATTAAGTTGACGAAACACTCAAGTCAAATTCTCCTAATTAAAGTCAGATCCACTCGTGTCTTGGACGGGGCAGTGATTTCATAAATCTGTTAATGTACGCATTCAAACGCTTTTTCTTTTACCAGCTGTATTCACCTTGCAGGTGCAGCTATGTGGCTTTTATCCTGGATAAAGTGTTTAAGTCATGGATGTTTAAAGTTTAACTTCTTCATATTTGACTAATATTAAAGTTCACTTTTCATTCAGGAAGTATGACGCTGCGCTGTCAGTACGCTTGTCCATGTTTGAGATTGGTCGAATGCTCCAAATACCACCCCTTTCATGTGAACGCGAACCTAACTAGATAGGACACGGCTGGCTTGAGCGATCCACTTGATAACCAGCGTCGTAGTACAGTTTAGCCAGAGCGCGTATGTTTTGGATTGGGCCAACCGGCTAACTTAAACATATCCAGGTTAGGAAAATCCGGCTTCGTAGTACAGGCCTCAGGTCTATGAAAACAAGCCCAAAAGAAGCAACACATACATGATGTTGTGTAATTTTAAACCAAAACTAAGGCCTCAGGATGACTTTAAGACGTGAACATGGTCATTTTTGTTTTGTAACATTAAATAAAATACAAATATTTTATAATTTTTTTTTTTTTTAAATCCCGATCCCCGATTTTTTCCTCCCGATTCCAATCTTTTGAAAATCACGTGATCGGCTCCGATCCCCGATCACGTGATCGGATCGGGACATCTCTAGCCGTTACTGTAAAAACAACTTGTTGGTTCAACACATTTGTATTTATTCTATGATGACCGCTCAACAACATGTATGAACCATAGACTTTGCACATGTTAAAGACTTTAAAGTAATTGGACAGCAATCTGTTGCCTTGTAATGTGCAATAATAGCGAAAAATGTATTTCTCTCCATGTCAAAGCAAGGAAAAACTAATTATATGTAATCAGACTGGTCCCCTAGATCTCCTGTCAGAAATGTATTTACATTGTTATCACTAACACCTGCTGCTATGGAGCCTGTGTGTCTACCTGAGCTAGTGTGGGATTCTGAACACCCATCTGTAATGTGCGTGAGGTCGTACAGGATGTGCTAAGTCCTCAAGGACATTTTTCAATCCAAAAGGAGACATGAATAATAGGCTTTCTTTCTGCGAATTTTACAACCGTTGGATGACCTTTAGTGTAAAATCCACAGCTGTTTCGCATTAAGACATATTTTCAGATGCTTTAGGGAGGATCATCAGGTCATCATTTTTCAAATAATGAAGGACACCGTGCACTTGTGTTTCTCCCATTGGGAATTATTTCACAAGAGTGGGGAAGTTTTATAATCAACTCACTGGTAAAAAAAGATTTACAAAATAAAGAGTGAGGAACATAATTAAAAACAAGTTATGAACAAACAGAAATAATTGTATCACAGCACCATAAAACAATAAAACATGAACAGTGATACCACTCAAATTAAAAGCCACATTTAGAAGATAGGTCTTTAATTTACTTGCTGTTCTAAGATCCAATGGGAGGCTTTTCCACAGTTTGGGGACATACAAACAGAAAGCAGCCTCCCCACATTTCTTGTGAAACACTGTTGGAAACACTTTAGGTACTTCTAAAAGAAAGGCATTGGAGGATCTGAGTGTCCTTTCGTTAAAATAGAAATATACAACATGGTACATTTTTGCACATAAAAATGTAATAGTGCCTTCAAATTTAAGGCATACAATAAGGAATGTTTTGTTTTATATGTATAAAGTATGTTAAATGTTTTATTTTGGAAAAAGCACATGTATGGACAACATGAAAAACAAGTAAAGTCAATAAAAAAAACTATTTTAATTATTAAACTAGAAATCGTTGGTGCTTTAAATACAGAATCAAGTCAATCAATAGTAAATGTTTAAAAAAAAATGGATATGGATAAAGTAGTATTATAATGTTTGCTGGAAATAAGCTTGGAGCAATGTTGTTGGTAAAAGCTGTGGGAACTCTGTTTGTAACAAGAACTTGTTTTGTCAAAAACAACATACCAGAAAGAAAACAGTCAAAGCAAGAGGCCCTGCTTACCCTTTTGGATTGTGAAGCAGGCAGGGAGAGGTTACGGTGGAAGAGGAAGAGCTGACAGGCAAAACTTGACCCTCCCAGAGCCTGGAGTGACACCTGAAAGCCTCGCAGGAAGGCGATCCCTAAATCAAACACCAAACGGACAGAGTTAATTCAGCCTCACAGGGTCTCGATTACCCAACTTCCATGTTGATACTTCATTGTCAAATATATGTGTGTTCTACAATGTGCTACCTGTTCAAGTCATGGTCAATTAATGTTCCAACAAGAAAGTGTTCATCTGTCATTTGTCATACCAACAACAATGATCAAACAGGTTGTCTCATAATCTTTGAAGCATTCTCATAATGTGACACATCATTTATCACCTTTCAGTAGACTCAATCTATTTCACCTGAAATAAATGTTGGATGTCAAATCCTGACAAAAATTCCTTTAGGGGAAGCACTTTGTGTCTAATATGATATATGAGTTTCAAAACTGCCTAAAGACTTCAAAAACGACTTCATGAATATTTCAAACATTTTTGCCTCCCAGCTAATCAGAAGGCCTGTTGTGGTTTCAAACAAACAAAATGGTAAAATAAGCCTATGACAAACTGTATATTTCTCAACATGCATTTACATTGTCAAACATCATAGGTTTAATTCACTGCACGGTTCAAATGGAATACAAATTGTTGACACTACCATACTTTTAACAAGTTGTTTACAGAAATTGGCTTAGTCAATCCATGTCAACCTACCATAGTAGCTGGGCTTCCAGGAGACAACTATGGTGTCAGATTCTGAGTTTGGTTCATTTACAAATTCAATCTCCACATTATTTGGACCGTGGACGTAGTGCTGACAGATTCTTGGGTCTTTTTCTCCTAGCAACTCAAAACATGGCCAGGGAATACAGCCTGAGGAGAAATAACAATGGATGAATAGATGCCAAGTGAGGATACAAGTGTCTCAGATATGTTCAGTTAGCATCCAATACACTTCTGGATATGTAATATCTGCAACCCTGCAAAACGCTCTGTGAGGTTGTTATTGCTAGCGTTAGCATGCTAACAACAGGAAACATTGACCTTGTTATTTTACATTGACCTAGCATTATCGTGCTAACATTATCAACTTAGCATCAAACAAAGTATTTCTTAGCCTTATGGGACTATACAGTTGTGTTGGTATTTGATCAGTAGCCTATTGGATACAGACAATTTGGACCTGAGCATTGCCAGCTAGCATTGCTAAGTGAAAGTCTGGGCATCCCTAAAGTTACAATTATTATTACCATTCTTGCAGGACCTTACGGGCTCTATAGAATATGATTTATTGTATTTGTATTCTATCCAATAGTTGAGAGATTTCAGTCTGAGCCAAAAAGGTGCACCAACCAGCTAATGGACAGAAGCTACACCGTTAGCTTAGCTTAATTAATTGAAATGTGGTTTATCATTGCAAATAAAATAGGGTGAAGTTTAATTAATATCTAACATTATGCACAATTTGTTTTAATCTATTACATACAGTAGACTGATGCACTTTGCTTTCCTATATTATTATCTCAGTGATGACAACTGGCAACACTCTTACTGGGTTAGGTAAGTATTAGGCTGGCCTCTGTTCAAACATAATAAGGGTTGCATTATACATATAATTATGTGTGTAGCTTTTGGTAAATGTCCTGCAGGGTAAATAGCTTGAGGTTTAAGCATCTTACTGCTGCCAAAAGCTGTTTCCGCAATTAGGTACAATGCTTCAACAAAGTTTCCCACTGCATTATTTGTATGTGTAGGCACTGGGTTCTCGTGCATCCCGACTTACTTCCAAACTCTTTAAAAGAGTTAAAGCCCAGAGCTGTCTTGACATCAGCTCTGGTTATTCTGCAGTATTCACATCCAGGTCCTCCCTGCAGGAGAGAAAGCAATAATGAATTCATACTGAGCACATTTAACTGCATTTCTTTTTTAATGCATATCGAACTCTGATTGCAAATATTAACAGTTTTATGTCAGACGAACACCTTGACTAAATGAAGGTGAATAAAAACGTAGCATTATTACAGATGAACATTCGTACACACCAACAAAAACAGATTACATAGGTTGACCTTAATTTAAACATCTCATTAGATTAGATCCATGGTCAACACAATTCCAGGAGTGCGTGTAATCGGTATCAGTATCGGATCAAAGAAGCCAAGAACACCGACTGCTTTCCCAAGTTGTTTTAAAGCAGAAACACACACTGAGCTATAAGCTTTTAATAACATCAATACAATTAATTGTATTGGAAAGATTTAGTGTTGTTGATGGATTTGGCATCCTTGTCTTTTGAGATCATTGAATAGCCGGAGAGCTAATGCTAATTAAAAAGTAAGATTTATTGTTTGAATACCTGATAAATCAGTTTGGCAGAAAAGTATTGATGCCTTTAGCAATTTTGGCCTATGAGGTTGTGTTTTTTTAATGAATTAATTGTTGGGTTCTTTGAAAGAATACTGTCTTGGTTTTTATGATACTTGTAGGAAGAGTGAATCATTGGGTAAGGGGGAACCCGTTGAATTAAGGAGCAAATCTTTATCACGGGGCAAATACAAGCTTTCTTTTGCAGGGAAACAGCATTGGTGGAGGTCTACGTTTACTGAGTGTTCATAGTGTGACCACTTTTTACTCTCTCCCTATAGTGTATAGTGTTTTCTGTCTTTTCTGTAAGATAATCTTGAACCGAAGAGGAATGTCCTGAACAATGAGCCAAACAGTGGACCTGGTCTTGATTACAGGGTATAATAAATCATATTGTAAAAGAATATTGCTCTGTTTCTGACTGTTTCCATGTAATGCTCAATAATTAAAATATGGTTCCAATTCACAGTACGACAGGGTGTCGGGTTGTTGTTGTGAAACAAATGACTACAAGTAACCTGGACCGGTTTAAAAAAAGAACACATCAAAGGCATTAGTCATCAACCCAATATGATTTCTTGAAACCAGAATGTCTTAGTCAAACTGCATTGTAGGTACACACGTAAGTAAAGCCCATTTGCCCTGCAGGTTTAGAGAGCATAACTAGAGAAACAGGTGGAGTAAATGAGAGAGGAAGAAACGCTATAGGCAAGAGAGACAAAGAGTGTGTAAGCATGTTGGTTCAAACAATGGTAGTTAAACTGTCAGGTTGGTTAAAGGCCATCAGAAATTCTTTCGAACCTAAATACATACTCGCACGCAAGCTAAGAACTTAAATGTTCGTGCCTTGAATGCTAAGAACATGTTTTAGCATTCAAGGCACGAACTGGAAGCCCTCAGTTGGAATGCTCACAATGCAATAAACATAGGACACATGATGTCTGAAGAGGCATATCGTCACAATCAATAACATCGAACTTAGATCATCCAAAATCAGAAATTAAATATTTGCATTCAGAGTTTTTAAGAATTTTTACAGCATACGACACCGTTTGTCTTTGGACAACATTTTTAGTAACCCCAGGCAGTGCAACAAAGGAAGTATCTCCCTCCAAGAACTGACATAAACGCAGCAGATGTTGTGTGTAAAACAACCTCACATTGTACCTCGGCCCACTCGAAGGTAAACAACTCTCGTCCAGAGGCTGAAAAGACCATATGCACCAGGAGCAGCTGTAGCCCTGTAATAGTATCCTAATCCTACTGCCTGGAGCTACCCATTTGAGTCCATTTATGCATAATTCTGGCATTTCAAAGACAGCTGAGGTCCAAGCCACAACATGTCAGTCATTTTAGCAAAGTAGGCAGTTTTGCTCTCGTAAATATTGCTGCTGTAAGAAAAATATGAAGAAAGAAGCTGTTTTGAAACTGATAGGCTGAGGGTTATAGTATTTATAATGACATACTTGAAACCAATCCGCTAGCGATTTGCAGAGGTGGGAGAAGTACTCAAATCTTGTACTGAAGTGAAAGTAGAAGTACAGTACTTTCTGGAATACTCTGTTACCAGTAAAATCCTGCATTCAAAATGTTACTCAAGTAAAAGTACCAAAGTATTGGCATCAAAATATACCAAAAGTAAAAAGTACTCATTATGCAGATTGGTCCATTTTAGAATAATATATATAATATTGTTTTATAATTATTGATCATTAAAGTGTTATCAAAGCTGGTACAGGTGCAGCTAGTTTGAATGACTTTGTATACTGCAGGGTAGCTTGCCTCTGAAGTGGAGTGGAGTATAAGTAAAAAAATGGAAATCAAGTACTCCAATAAAGTACAAATCTCTCAAAATGTTACTTAAGTACATACTTGAGTAAATGTACTTAGTTACTTTACACCTCTGGAAATATGGCCATGATTAAGCCTCTGGGGGCAATGATCAATAGTCATGGGTTCCGGTCAGGGTTGGGAGGGTTAAACCATAAAGCAGATTCAGGCTGTAGGCTTATAGATTCACACTGAAAGTATCTTACAAAGAACAAATACAATCTGATCCTTTTACAACAAACATCATATGCTCTTTTACATGTTTCAGTAACATTGTTATCCTGCTAGTAATCCCCACATTTTTTTATGTAACGGTAAGGGAATGCAGTTACCTTTTATTGTTTCCTGATTACATAATCCTGTTACATGTTACACTGTGAGCGAGACTCTCTTATAGGAATACATCAAAGACCACTTACATGCCATACAACATTATTTTGGGCGAAGTCCTATACTGCAATACACAAAACCATACCATACAAGGACCTTTCACAAGTAGAATTCACAGAAAGCCCCACATTGTAATTGTTTCTCTTCCCCTCTATTCCTGTAGTGTCATACATTCTCTCTATACAACAGAGCTCCTGTTATCTCAAATATTTGGTAATTCAATACCAGAATTTCCTTCACAAAATCTTAAGAATTTAAGGAGATTTAATATGTAAAATTGTCCAGTAGTTCTATGGAGCTAAATCAGCACCAAAAACATTTGAAAGCAAAAAACGTTTTTTTTAAGATTTACATTTTGTTCCTGAAATTAGAAGAATCATAACAAAAAATTGGTATTTAGAAACTGAGAAAAATAAGTACTCAAATATCAAAATATATAGAGATATAATATATAAGTGAATAAACAATTTATTCAAAATAATAACTACTCTAAATGCAAAAATGTCCAATTCTTTTTTTTGTATGAATTCATATAGTAGTTTCCAAAGTTTCGGCATTAAAACTTAAACTTTCAAATACATTTTATTATTTTAAATCAAACCTTTTGCCCACATTTAACTCCATATAGTTTACAATCAAGATCAGAAAAATAACATGAAGCAAGGAGAGATGTCTTTGGCCCTCCACATCTGTTACATGACCCTTCAGACGTATTAAATAGGTATTAAAATGTTCTGCGCAATAATGAAAACAATTTTCATGTTTCTGGATACAATGTATAACCCGACTTGCCAGATGTTACACAGAAGAAACCTGAAGCTCCCGAATCAGCGTTTGAACCATATTTAGTTATAACAAAAAACAGCATTCAAAACCATAAGTGAATGTAATGTCTGTTTATTAGCCCGTTGGGATCCGAGCTGTCTCTACTACCCTTCTAACCTCCTCTTGTACGCGGCAGCCATGTCAACAGATGCAGCTGCAGGAGAAGCAGCGTGTTTGACATTTTTCCCACACTGAGAACATGATCCAAGTAATTGCTACCTTCAGAAAATGACTTCAGTTAAAGCATTGTGAGCAAAGATTCCAATAAGCAGCCAAAGTCAAAGTAGTCTTTGTTTAACAGATGGGCCCTCTCAGGGTTTTACTACTAAAAAAAAGTATTAATAACAAGTGTAAATTATAGATCTATCTTTTAAATATAGCTTTGAAACTGTTTTACTGGTATCATTGTTCACGTTTGATTGTATTTTAATCAAATTATTTCTGTTTTGTAACTTGTTTTTACATATTTGAATGTCATCGTTATCGATTTGAATTTGGTACAATTGTACTGGTATCATTGTTCATGTTTTGTATTGTGATCAAACTCTTTCTCTTTTATTTTCTTAACCATAAACTAATCTGTATCTTTGTCGCTTTCTGTGAGAACCCTCCTCGGGCATTTTTGTACATTTTTCCTGACCTTTTTTTTTGATTTGGTGTTCATTTCAGCTGTGTTACAGCTTTTGGCATGGATTTTTGCAAGAAGTCTTCTTTTGAGTCAAATTTTTGAAATCCAATGTCGTTTACTCTTACATGTTTTGTATACTCTCGTGATGCATTTTGCACCCTCTGGACCCCTTCGTGGCAAAAATGTACACGCTCATAAAAACTGCTATTAAATCATCATACATCAATATTTTATTAAACTTTTTTTTCCATGAATCACTTGAACAACTTCTAACGTGCTCAAAACTACCAAACATCCAATAATTTTCAGGATTTTAACCCTTTAAATGTTTCATTATTTGAATTATTTAATTTCTCTTAAAAAAAAACAGAAAAAATGAATTTCTTTCAATATAATAATTAGTAGAGGGATGGAACTTTGGTGGTTATTAGAGTCTGGGATGTGTCAAAGATTAGCAACAAAATTGATTTGACTGCATTATTAATCTTTACGTAGTGTCAGATACTACCTCTGGACACCTTCGTGGCAAAAATGTACACGCCCATAATAACTTCTATTAAATCATCATACATCAATATCTTTTTCTACTTTTCTTTTCATGAATCACATATACAACTTCTCACGTACTCAAAACTACCAAACATTCAATCATTGGCAGGATTTTAACCCTTTAAATGCCTGTTTCATTATTTTAATTATTTCATTTATCTCAAAAATGCCTCATTGACTTCCATTCAGACCACATTTGTTGATCTCACTGCCATTGCCGTATAAAACCATGCATTTTGTAATGTCAGCATTTCATTTAGAAGAAAAGTAGTGATATTTGATATTTCTACTCTATTCCAACAGATTACACAAGTTTCCGTGTAGGCCGATGCATTACATTCTTACATTTTTGCCAGTTATATTATGGAGCCGTGTGACTACCAGGGGGGCCCTGAGAGTGGTGTGTGTGTGTGTGTGTGTATGTATGTATGTATGTATGTATATATATATGTGTGTGTGTGTGTGTGTGTGTGTGTCATTTCCAGCAGTAGACCAGCAGGTCCTGCAGCATGTGACCTGGTGCTCTCTCAGGTGATAGAATAACAATATTTTAGGCCTGTGCACAACCAGCACACACCTCTCCTCCCTCTCCGTGTGTGTGTGTGTGAGAATCTGTAAGCATGCACAGATCATTTCATGGGAACAAAAGGCCATCTTTTGAGGGATGTGTTTGATGTGTCTTTGAAGAGCTGCTTGATTACTCAAAAACAAAAAACAACTGTTAGTGTGTTTATGCACCTGGCTGCCAAAGATAAACATGCAGTTTGACCAAGGGCTTATTTCATTAGTGAGCAGAGAAGGAGAAAGACCTGGAGCAAAGAGAAGGAACTCAAATGAAGAAGCTTTTCAGTGCAGAAGAGACTTCAGAAATAATCTTGTAGCCTTCTTCTGCCAGCTGCAGGACTCATCTGAAGAAGACACAAGGTTCGAGCTGGGGTCTGACACTGAATGCTCTCTGGAGTCCAGCATTTCTTTGAGTTCCTCTGACCCTTCATCTGAAAGTGGAGAGGACACTGAGGGTCCGGCCCACCATCCACCACCACGGGGGGCTTTCTTCTCACAATCTGTGAGGACACCCTGGTTTTCCCCAGCTTCTGGGAGAACGACCTCCGTTCTTCTCTGTCCCCTCACTGTGGGCCGGACCCTCAGTGTCCTCTCAGAGGAAGGGTCAGAGGAACTCAAAGAAATGCTGGACTCCAGAGAGCATTCAGTGTCAGACCCCCCTCGAACCTTGCGTCTTGTGTTAGGCCAGATGAGTCCTTGTTGTTCTATCACCTGAGAGAGCACCAGGTCACATGCTGCAGGACCTGCTGGTCTGCTGCTGGAAATGACACACACACACGCACACGCACACACATGCACACGCACACACATACATACACACACACACACACACACCACTCTCGGGGCCCCCCTGGTAGTCACACGGCTCCATAATATAACTGGCAAAAATGTAAGAATTGCATGCATCGGCCTACAGGGAAACTTGTTTAATCTGTTGGAATAGAGTAGAAATATCAAATATCACTACTTTCTTCTAAATGAAATGCTGACATTACAAAATGCATGGTTTTATACGGCAATGGCAGTGAGATCAACAAATGTGGTCTGAATGGAAGTCAATGAGGCATTTTTGAGATAAATGAAATAATTAAAATAATGAAACAGGCGTTTAAAGGGTTAAAATCCTGCCAATGATAGAATGTTTGGTAGTTTTGAGTACGTTAGAAGTTGTATATGTGATTCATGAAAAGAAAAGTAGAAAAAGATATTGATGTATGATGATTTAATAGAAGTTATTATGGGCGTGTACATTTTTGCCACGAAGGGGTCCAGAGGTAGTATCTGACACTACGTAAAAAATAATAATGCAGTGAAATCAATTTTGTTGCTAATCTTTGACACATCCCAGACTCTAATAACCACCAAAGTTCCATCCCTCTACTAATTATTATATTGAAAAATAATGTTTTGTGTTTTTTCGTAAGAAAAAATGAAATAATTCAAATAATTAAACAGGCATTTAAAGGGTTAAAATCCTGCCAATGATTGAATGTTTGGTAGTTTTGAGTACGTTAGAAGTTGTATATGTGAGTCATGAAAATAAAAGTAGAAAAAAATATTGATGTATGATGATTTAATAGAAGTTATTATGGGCGTGTACATTTTTGCCACGAAGGGGTCGAAAGGTTGACAATTCGAGGAGGGCACAAGGGTTAAAAGGTCAATGTCAACGTTTTAAAGATACACCGGCAGAATGTAGGTATGTGACAAACTATTTCGCAGCTGTTTCAAAAGGAATTTTAAAAGAGACATTCGCTTTAGAAGTAGGAGAATTTCTAAACACCAAAAGATAAAATCCTTTAGTATAGATATAAGCATTTCAAAGTGAGCTAAATTGTTGAGAAAAATCGTTTTAACTGGACATAAAGGGGATGGAAAACTGTCATCTGAAGGGTAACAATTGAACATGTTCCTAGAGCCTTTAGATAAACGCAGCTGAATAAACATCTAATATCTCAAGCTTTTAGATACACACCTAAAAACTAGAGCTTTTAGATAAATGCAGTAGAGTACAAATCTAAAAAATAAAGCTTTTAAATAAATATAAAAGAGTAAAAATCTAAAAGCTAGAGATATTAGATCAAATCTAATATCTCTAGCTTATAAATATATATACTTACAAACTAGAGCTTTTAGATGAATACAGTAGAGTACAACGTACAAAATCGTGTTCATGTAGTTGAGTAGAAGTATAAAGTTGCAAAACATAGAAATATTAAAGTAGAGTGCAAGTACCTTAAATGTGTACTAAAGTATTTGGTCAACATTTGTAATTACATTCCCACACCGTGTACATCTCAGGTCAGCTGTGATGTTTTTTTAAAAGTTGAAAATAGTTTCTTTCAATGAACAAGAGAAGGATGTAGACACAATGTATCCGCAACAGAAGACAATGCCGTCAGCACACTAACACAACACACACACAAAATGTAAATGAAACACAAAAGGTGGGATTATGCGCTTATACCTCTTTGATGCAGTCCAGGCTGCAGTCCTGAGGAGCGATGGCCCCCTCCTGAGCCCAGAGATGCTGACAGGGAGCCGAAAAGAGGAACACAACAAGCGCTGCCGTCCACATGCTGCTAAAGCCTGCATGACATGGTCCAACTGCAAACACCAGAGCTCAAAAACACACAGAAACAATAAGCACTGAGCGTCTGGAGGAAGCAAGCGTTGGAAGTGTGAAGTCTGTAGTGCGTGAGAGTAAGTGACAGCAAACCAGGGAGGAGGCGTCCAGGGGAGTGGTGTCTTCAGGCTACGGGGTGCGAGCAAAGCCAACGAGCGTGTTTTAACAGTGACGCTGCCAGACGTGTTCATTCTGTGCTGCAGGAGCAAGAGGTGAGCAGCCGGAGCCAAAGATAGCTCATCCAATTGCCTCTCGCAGGAATGAGATTTCATAAAGAAGCCAAATGAATCTTTCAGTTAACTGAGTCATACCAAGGCTCTGTTTATTATCATGTTAATGAGCTATACACACATGAATGTTTTCACAGGAAACATTTGCAATTCAAATACATCTGGGAAATCTAGTATTTCAAAGTCAAGTCATGAATCAATCGTTTATCACATCTTGATAAAGCATTGATTAAATGAGTAAAATAACATGGAACGTAACCAAAGAAAAATCTGCATGAAGGATTCCAGAGAGTGAAGAGGACAGCTGTTTCACCGGATCTGAAAAACAAACGAGCACAATACACACGATTAAACATCCCATCTGAACAAATAATCAAACTTTGATTAAAGGAATATTTTACCACAGAATGACTGTATATCAGAGTCTGCCTGTTTTAGATTAAATGATTGATGTCCTTTGTAAAAGCAAACATCTCACAAAATCCCGTGCCAGTCATTTATACACAAACACATGCACTATCACTAAAATGAACACCATAGCACCATGTTTTTAACATTTAAGGCTTCTATTGGAGGTTTTCAAATGAAGCTCCGAAGTGATTCTACTCTTTGTAGAGTGAGGACTGTGACCTCTGGGTGGAACACAGGGGTTTTAGCCTTTGCAGACCAGTATGCACAAATGGAAGGGGAAAACCCCAAAAGCATAATAGGGCCCCTTTAATCTAACTTTATTCAATAGGAAATGTTGTCTGAGGGCATTTTTGTTTCAGTGCGTATTAGAGATGGGAACGATTAATCGAATATTCGAAATTATTCAGGTATTCGAATATGAGTTATGAATATATATATATTTTTTGGGATGGGTGCCTAAGTTGATTACATATTATCAAATGGAATAATTCAATGTATACGACAGTGCCATAGCTAAATGTGTTAGGTCTAAAGGTGTGTTTTGCTCCGCTCACCGGTCCCTCACAGCGGGCAGAGCTGCAGGTACTGATCTCTCTCTCTCGCTCGTGTCCGGTTAGACTTCACTCGCGTTTATGTCCATATCCATCAGAAAACCAAGTTATGTTTTAAGCATGAAAGCTGTAGGCCTATAGCTGTCAACTGTTCAAACGGTGATCACCAGTTCAATACATTTGACAAATTCGACTTGGTTTCTATACTTATTTGAACATGTATTTATTTATTTTTCAAAATTAAATGTTTTCTTTTTTGTTTTGTAAAAATCTTTCCCACATTTTTTTTTTTTTATAGGTTATGTACATTTCGGTTAATCGGTTAACCGTTTTTTTGGGGGTCGAATATTTGAATATACATTTGCTTTCAAATTCCCATCCCTAGTGCGCATGTCATTTGACGTTTGATCAAATATCGCTGTAGAAGCCTCAAATATTAAAAAAAACAGCAACAAATCTGTAAAGCTCTAACTTTAGCGAACATTCATGAGTGTGTGAGCTAGGGAGCCTACTGTGTAAATGACAAGATGTGTCAGAGTTTGTAAACTGTTTCCAATATAGTTTCACTTTTATGAACTTTTATGAAGACTTCTCTTTCTTTTCTCGATCCTTTGTTCACCTGGGAATTATGTAAGGCGTTCAACATTCCACGTCACATGAGATGATTAATTGGCATATTGTCCTTAAACGACTCTCTGTATGTGCCAGGTAACTGGGTTAACAGTGGCATTTCAAAGCATGCCGATGCAAGACAAAGTTGGCAACGTTTCTCGGCGTTGGGGAGGTTTTTCTTCTGAGAACCTCCGTACACACAGTGAGGTCTGAGTCTATTTACCTTCTTTAGAACGTAAACATGTTGTGAGAGTTGATTTAATAGGTCGTAGCTGTAAACAACACAACAACACTTTTATGATCTTACCAGGATACACACTTTTATTAGACAGCCTGGTGAGCCTGGTGTGTGAACAGGGGATTTCAGTGAATATGTGGCCTTTATTCAGAGTGGGATATTTACTACCAACGAAATGTACGAGAGATTGTAAAACTTTTAAAAAGATGTTAAACCGAGAAGAACACTGAATAGATCTACAATTAGAATGGTTATATCCACACTAAAAACACACTTCTTCTCTCTGGCCTTCTAGTTAGAGCGGAGCACGACTCCTGACTTTTCCCTGTGTTTTTTTAATTTTTTTTATATATATCTGTTGTAATTTATTGTCTTTTATTGTGATTGTAGTAATGTGTTTTTATTACAGCACTTTGGCTCGACCAAAAATCGCTTTTAAATGTGCTTTATAAATAAAACTTGATTTGATTTGATTTGAAAAAGCTAATTCTATTGCCTTACAGTTACTTTGAAAATAAGTGTAATCAGATTACAGTTACTTATCCTACAATTGGGGATTACTAGCAGGATTACAATGTTTATACAAACCTAAAAAGAGCATGTAGAGGATCAGATGTTATTTATTTGATAAGCTGTACTGTTCTGTAGGCTGACACTTTCAGTGTGAATCTACTACTGCCTGAATCTGCTTTATGCTTTCCACTTTCTTTGCTTCATTTGTTCCGTTTATAATTCAGTATGTGAATTTATATGTTCATAAAATAGTGTGTGCGTTTAACTGTGTGTATTAAACTAAAACAGAGCATTTTCTCAGAACATTTTATTTCTTCTTTTTTAAACTGTAGTGTGTGCTCATGAGTTTCATTATAGGTGTGTAGGCAGATTTTCCTATTGATCAAATCATTTTTGATACTCAATATCTTCTTCTTTTCTAATACATTGTTCTGTTGTCTTACACAATACACTTAAGTAAAACCATCTTATTGATATTTATTTATTTCCCAGTCTGCTCTGATAGGTTAGCTGGCCGGCTCTGTTGTGATTGGTCAACTGATTAGAAATGGTTTACCCTTTAGCCTATCACCTACAATGTGTTGGATCGCTAGCCAATAGAAGTGCGGGAGGGAGAGACACTCCCTCTGGAGGGAACATTGGGATTTAAGTCTTTGCAGACCATTTACATGCACTCAAACCTATAAAACACTCTATAGGAAATGGAAAACCCCCAAAAGCATAATAGGGCTCCTAACCCTCCTAACACTGATATAAGATAAAGATAAGATGAAACCTGAAAGATGATTGGCCCCTCACCGTATATTTGTCCCATTTCTTCTCAGGATCGTACGGCTCCCAGCGACTCGCAGGGAAGATGTGTTTGTTCTTCTCATACCAGCTTCTCAGCACCACTTTACCAGCGTGAGACTTTAAGACAAAAACACAGAAAGGGTGTTTCACTTTGCAATGAATGCCCACTCAAATGATAATCCAAGGATTTCTGCACACTTGAGATGTACGCAGAATGAACTGATCACCAAGAGAACATCCATTATGGGAATTATGATTCAATGTTTGACTGCAAGCAGAGGCACAATGAAATATGTTTGGTTACATGTGAGATCCTGTTTAATGCTTTCTAGGAAGGCGCTCGGAAGCTGCCAGTTCATCATAACAAGTTGAATATGTGCTGCAGGGCAGTGATGACTTAAGATGGAAAATGCTGATTTGAATTCATTCTCAAATGAGCAGGTTTGCAATCACACAAGCTGTTCCCCCCCCCCCCCCCTCATCATCTTAGATTCATTTTGCAAATTATCTTACTTTTTATGTTATTTATTTGTCTACTTTCAATTGTTGTCAAGCACTTAATTGTGTTATATGGTGCTCCTGTCAAAAAAGTTATAGTGTCAGGTTTATTTATTGTCCATCATTTAGCAAAAATGTCGAACTCCCTTAAGCTGATATTCATCTCAGTATCTATACCTTAAATATGGATAGCACAAAACAGTATAGCAAGGAATTACATTGAAATATATCTTGGATGATGAAGAAAAAGGTTGAAAACTGAAAACTGATACATCTATTGACTCCAGAAGTCCCCCCCCCCCCCAAATCAGAAATATCTGTATGTATGTATGATATGAATTCCTTATAAAACAACAGCCTGTGTTAGGATTTGCCGTTCAATTTCGGCACTGGTTCAGATCAACTAAAGAATTCCGTTCATTTCCTCCAAGTCCTTTTGTTTCACTATGAAAACAAATTCTCACCTCGTCTTTCTCAACGGTGGCGTCGTTCACCAGGCGGATATCATCGTGGACGTCGAAGCTGAACAGAGGACCTGGAAGAAAACAGATGAACTGAGTCCAAAGGCAGTAACACAACTATTTCAAAATGTAATAGAAACAAAGCCAGGTACTGTTTATGGATTGGCTGAAAGCTGTGGATCACTCACCAGATTTGCCTCTGGCTTTGGTCACGATGAAGTCGTAGAAACTGTGGTGCTGAAGGAGACAAACAGATGAGAACAATCAAAGAGGGATAAAGTGCCGCACCTGCTCCACACATTTCAATATTTGTTGACATTCTCTAGACTCTATACTTGTTTCTAAGTTGGCATTTGTGTATGTTGGCACAGATTGAAAGCTATTAGAGTATAAGGTTTATTTATTCGTTTTTTTTCTAAAAATCATATTCTCTAGAAATATAGAAAGTAACAGAAATGGTTGGCCGCTGTGTCCTTGGGCAAAATACTTAAACCCAAATCGCTCATCAGAAATATTGTGAAATGAGATTTTCTCTAAATCACTCATCCCTACAATCAACCTGTCAGATCAGGCAAATGAGAAAATGAACGTGATCTTTATCTATTATTCATTCAGAAAGGATTAGCACAACGAGGCAACAGCCGATGGGTTTGGCTGAACAAGCTTGAGTAACGCCTGGAGCGTGAAAGGAATCTCTCATCAACCACAACTGTCGCAACAATGAAATGAAGAGAAACGAATCAAAGAATCCAAACAAAGTCAGGCAACGGTTGAACTGCTTACATGTGGTATGATCAGATCTTCTTTGATGTACATTAGCTGCTCTACTCCAGCAGACCTG